AGTATAGAAACTTAATTCAAAATTATCTTCCTAATTATTGTTTGTATCAAAATATTTTTCAAATAAAACTTGTTAAGAATTAAACAAGGAACAACTTTCATTGGCACCATTTTTTAAAATTATCAACTTTTTAATTTCCCTATGAATAGTATAAAAATGAAATTCAAGATTATCTTCTTTATTATTGTTTGTATCAAAATATTTTTCAAATAAAACTTGTTAAGAATTAAACAAGGAACAACTTTTATTGGCACTATTTTTTAAAATTATCAACTTTTTAATTTCCCTGTGAATAGTATAGAAATGAAATTCAAGATTATCTTCCTAATTATTGTTTGCATCAAAATATTTTTCAAATAAAACTTGTTAAGAATTAAACAAGGAACAACTTTCATTGGCACCATTTTTTTAAATTATCTACTTTTTAATTTCCTTTTGAACAGTATAGAAATTAAATTCAAGATTATCTTTCTAATTATTGTTTGTATCAAAATATTTTTCAAATAAAACTTGTTAAGAATTAAACAAGGAACAACGTTTGTTAGCACCATTTTTTAAATTATCAACTTTTTAATTTCCCTGTGAATAGTATAGAAATTAAATTCAAGATTATCTTCTTAATTATTGTTTGTATCAAAATATTTTTCAAATAAAACTTGTTAAGAATTAAGCAAGGANAAAGCCGATGTTGAAGGAAGTATTAAAAATAAATCGAAAGTAGCTCTCTTTAATATCTAAAGGCTGTCTATTTGATTTGAATTTTTAAGGGATTCGCGAGTTTTTTAATACAAATCATTGAGTATTTTATAGAAAACAACTTTTTCTAACAGATGGTGTATATATCTCATTTTTGCCCAAAAATGGATTTATGAAAAAAATACAAACAATATTTCAAAAAAAATTTAATAATAAATATGTAATATATAATATTACAAAACATCAGTAATAAATGAAATAATATTTTTGAAAAAATATTTATATAATAAAAAAAAACAATAAATTTTAGTGCTTTTAATTTTATTTTGAAATTGTGTGAGCGGACCCTTTTTGAATTTACGAACGCATTCATCGAACTGTCAAACGTCAGTTAATGTTTTCTTCGATGCAATAACGTTCAGTCCCTGGTTCTTAACAATCAAGCAACATGAGTGCTCCCACTGCTCCTAAGTTTGAGCCACCCAACATCACTTACGTTTGGAATAAGAGAAAAATTTACACGGATGCTATCAAGAAATTGAATAAAGCCGAAGCGATTTTTGTTGCACCGATAAATTATGTCGATAAAATGGATGCGACCAAAACGATTCCAAGCTTAATTTATATGTGCACCTGGGATAATGTGTTCATTTTCGATCTTATTGCGTTCAAAGAAAAGGCGATTACGAAGGAGTTGGAAGATATTCTCAAATCGAACAAAATGAAATTCATTTTGTCCAAACGCATCACCTTCAACTTCTTAGGGTTTGATAATTGGGACCAAATTCCTAATGTTTTTGACATTGCATCTCCTGGGGACCACTTTTCGTCTTTTGATGGTGCTAATAAAGAAGACAAAGAAAGCGAAGCCAGCGGGACCACCCCAAACAAGGAATTTGTAAGTTTTAATTTCTTCTATTTGGGCTAATTTTTAATGAATTTTTCATTTTTAGCGTCTCTGTGCTGTTGATTGGAGCGCACGCCCTTTTACAGCGGAGGAACATTTCAAAGCTGGACGCCGCATCTATGAATTAATGATGATGTTTACTGAATATAAGTTATAATTTAACAAATTATAATTTTGTAGTGAAATGTCATAATAAATATTTCTATAGCAAAATTTTGTATTTTTTTTTTCTTGCCACCAGAGGGCTTATCGCATTCGCGTGACGTAAACATTTTATAATCGAATTTGGATAAATAATAATGCAGAGTTGGGGTTAAAAAATCATAATAATGAGATTTATTAAATGTTTTTTATTTCATAATATCCCAATTCGTTCCTGAGATACGATTCAAAATTTCTTATTGTTGTAGATTTCTGCGTAAGAAATTAAAATGCAAGAACAATTAAGCTATTCAGTGGGTTGATTGTTTATTAAGCACGATTTTTGATAACGACCGAGCAAAAGTCGAATTACTCTAATTCAAGGTTAATGTTTACGAGCTTGAAACTTGATCATTTCAATTTGTTTTCGTTGCACGGCGCCGTTAATTATTTAATATCTCCCACCGTCTCGTATTGCTATTATTTTACAGAATTTAAAAAAATGCTATCAATTTCGTTTTTGCAATAACAAAAATTTCTTTTTAAAATTCCATTCGAATTATACGTCTTACGCATCCTCTAACCGTAATTGGAATCCAATCGAATTACTCGCTTTTGACTCATATCAAAGTATATAGGGGTAACGGGTTCCAACACTTTATTTTAAATCTAATTATTGAGCATTTTGTAGCAAAGATGCGACCAAAATTATAATGAATCAACAACGAAGGAAACGAGCCTTCCAAGTTGATGAAGACGAATCCTTAGCGTCCAAGAATCAAGCAAAACAAGATTATTTCGCTATATCAGATTCTAATGGGGGTATTTGTAAGAAGTTTAAACTATTCAATTTGGAAAATAAAGAAGACTTAACAGGTAAAAATGAAATTAGATTAAATCTTGATGTCTAAGACTAATTATTAGGTGGAGATAATTTCGGAGATGTGGCCGGGAATCTGGTTCCAATAAAAATTGAAGTCCCAAACATTAATTTTCCTACAAAAGAAGAGGAAACTCACATCCTTGAAAAAGGCGGAATGCTACGTCGTTATCTTGACGAGATATGGGGTGATACGGCTCGAAATAACGTTGATAATTTAACTTTAAATGATAAAATAAAGGAAACGGGGCATAACACAAATATTTCCGAAAGAGACGACTCCCAATATTCAGCTGACTCCTTAGCCGAATCAATTTTTATTCACGATTTAAGTGATGATGATAACACAACTTGTTATTACTCCCAAGATTCTGGGGCTGAATTTAGACATGTTAAAGTGGACCATCATGCTTTGAATAATACATAGATTTATTATATATATATATTATTATATTAAATTATTAATTTTAAACAATTTCTGTGGAACTCATTCATTAAATTATCGCAATTATTTAGAAGTTTCTAATCTACAAACTCATTGGGTTTTAAATTTCGTGTAAACACCTCACCACCATAAGGAATATAACTGGTCTTAATCACCGCACGTTTTGATTCGCGTTCATTTGCATTGTAGTTGTTGAGGTGTTCGGTTGTAGTGTTCAAAAAAGTGGTAAGTACACTTCCCAAAGAATTTGTTGCTGAATCGGCAGTTTATCGCTTTGTTTTTGCAAGATAACGAGGAGCATTCTTAAGTATTGACAAAATGAATAACGAGATTTCGTCGAAATCAAGTGGGAGGAAAAGAAAAAGCGATAAACCTGAAAACCCAACAACTCCGCTCGAGAATCTTGTGGGCGAAGAAAATAAATTGGAGGAGGTTGATAAAATGTCCGAGACATCCGAAGCTTTGGATAGGGAGGACTCCAATGTGGGCGATAACCATTTGCCTGTAAAAAAAAGAAAATCAAGCTTGCAAAGTGGGACATCAGAAAGCAAAGATGAACCAAGCTGCTCAAAAGCTGGGGAATCCGCTCCCAAAACTAGAGAATACGACCCAGACCTTCATGAAATCGCATTAACATTACTAGAAATGCATAAAACTCCGTACTTTTATCAGCCATCCACTTCAAAAATTGCGGAGGAAAATAAAGATTTAAAACAATCCGCACCAAACGAACCGAAAGAAAATTCGAGCCTTAACGACTTTTTCGTATTAGAAGCTAAAGAAATAGAGTTGCAAAACTTAATTCTCGACTTTTTGGAGCATCACCCCCTCGTTGGGCAATCACTAGAATACAAAAATAAACGTTTCGATTTGAAATCATGGCAAATGTATTTTCCCGAACTCCAAAAATATTTCAATCAAGATGTTTTACCTCAAACGGAGCGAATCCCACAACCTTCAATCTCTTTGAATTCGCGCTCAAAAAAACATAAATCCAAGCGACATAAATCAAGCCGTAAAAGTGAACATAAAAGTCGCTCGAAAACCAGAGGCGAGAAGCGTGCTTTCGACGAAGATTCACCAAAAGAAATTCGTTCTAAAAAAAGAAATAAACAAGAAAAATATTATGGGGCTGAATCCGCATCGAAATCGAGCAAGAAATCGAAAAAATCGAAACGCCAAGATAAGAAATCTAAGAAACATCAAAAATATTCAACTTTGAAGCCGGATTTTTCTAAATCCAAACGAGGAAGGAGCTGTGTTAATGAAAAACCACAAACTTCGCACGAAAAGAGGTCAAAATCCGAGTCTAATATTAAAAAGATAAAAAATGATGAGGGAGTTGAGAAATTTTCAATTTTAAAACATAAAAACCGATTTGTTATTAAAAAGAAAAACAATGAATCCGAGGCGAACCAAATTCTGCCTCAAGTTGAAACTGAAATGGAAATTGAAGAAGTTGGTGTTGAAATTGAGGCTGAAATTGAAACTGAAAATAAAACTAAAATTGAAACTGACCCCTCAATATTTAACGAAATTAAATCAGAAATGTATAACGAAGAAGAAGAAATTCCAATTAATAAAGAAACACTTAATGAAGAAGTTGATGAAGATTCCGATGTTATCATGGTTGAAGTACCAAATTCTGATAAAAACGAAAAAATGAACAAAAATTATAAAAATTTGGAACGCCCAATGCAATATTTAAGTTTAAAATTGCCAAGTAATAAGTATTAAATAAACAAAGTGAAATTAATTTTAATAATTTTTTTGTAGATTTTAACGATCCTGATCGAGTAAGCCGACGATTTATAAACGTAGGAAATGGTGCGATTGGTTTGTTGGAGACGTGTTATGAATTTTTCGTAAACACCCCAATGATACTACATCCTGGGTGCCTCTACGCCACCCCTTTTCTTTACTCAGCATCAAGACCATCAACTTTTGAATCACTATTTTGCCCATATCGTTTCAAATTTAGCCCTGAAGTAGTAAATCATCATTTCATCGTTCTAAACGATACTCATTCGCAAAATAATTTCAACGAACACAGCACCCCACCTCAACCAACGTATCAAAATAATCATGGAGGTGAGGAATATATTGATGTGGATGATACTGGTAATGAGGAAGAAATTATTAATGTTGAAGAAATTATTGATGACGATGAAATTATTAATTTGGAAGAGAATAGTAATGAGGAAGAAAATATTACTATGGATGATTCGTTGAATATTTTTGATCCTTACGAGTGGAAATTTATGCAGGATTACCAAGACGATTATATTCCCGATGAAAACTTGTATCCAAACGTAGAGGAACCGGTTCCTTCGACTTCTGGGATCAATCAAAATAATCATTTTGATTATAATGAGCCAATTTATATTTCTAGCGATGATGAAGATACACCGTGTAAGTATTCTTCTTAGTAATCATAAAAAAAAAGTATTTAAGATTTTTTTTTAGATTACACCATCAAAGTTAAACCAACTTCAAGCTTGCAATAAAAGTATAATGCAAGAATTTTAATATGCTTTTCTCATGTAATCAATTTAATCGCATCTTTATAATCAAATTTTATTAAATAAATGTATTTGGGGTATTAATTGTTTCATTTTTGACCTCTCCTTTCATTAATAATTGTAATTAAGGACAAAAATAAAAAGGAAATCAAATTAATAGTTTTTGTTTTTTTATTATAATGTATATATACAAAGATTAAGTAATGTATACAACGTAAAAGGAACAACAAGCGAATTTCGTTTGAATCCGTTAAATTGTATATAATATATAATGTATATGTATAAAAACGGTAGAGAAATTGAATTGAAAATTATCAAAATATTTTTCAAATAAAACTTGTTAAGAATTAAACAAGGAACAACGTTTGTTGGCACAATTTTTTAAAATTATCAACTTTTTAATTTCCCTGTGAATAGTATAGAAATGAAATTCAAGATTATCTTCTTAATTATTGCTTGTATGAAAATATTTTTCAAATAAAACTTGTTAAGAATTAAACAAGGAACAACTTTCATTGGCACCATTTTTTTAAATTATCAATTTTTTAATTTCCCTGTGAATAGTATAGAAATTAAATTCAATATTATGTTCCTAATTATTGTTTGTATCAAAATATTTTTCAAATAAAACTTGTTAAGAATTAAACAAGGAACAACTTTCATTGGCACCATTTTTGAAAATTATCAACTTTTTAATTTCCCTGTGAACAGTATAGAAATTTAATTCAAGATTATCTTCTTAATTATTGTTTGTATCAAAATATTTTTCAAATAAAACTTGTTAAGAATTAAGCAAGGAACAACCTTTGTTGGCACTATTTTTGAAAATTATCAATTTTTTAATTTCCCTGTGAATAGTATAGAAATGAAATTCAAGAGTATCTTCTTAATTATTGTTTGTATCCGAATATTTTTCAAATAAAACATGTTAAGAATTAAACAAGGAACAACGTTTGTTGGCACCATTTTTTAAAATTATCAACTTTTTAATTTCCCTGTGAATAGTATAGAAATGAAACTCAAGATTATCTTCTTAATTGTTGTTTGTATCAAAATATTTTTCAAATAAAACTTGTTAAGAATTAAAAAAGGAACAACTTTTATTGGCACCATTTTTTAAAATTATCAATTTTTTAATTTCCCTCTGAATAGTATAGAAATGAAATTTAAGGATATCTTCCTAAATATTGTTTGTATCAAAATATTTTTCAAATAAAACTTGTTAAGAATTAAACAAGGAACAACTTTTGTTGGCACCATTTTTTAAAATTATCAATTTTTTAATTTCCCTCTGAATAGTATAGAAATGAAATTTAAGGATATCTTCCTAAATATTGTTTGTATCAAAATATTTTTCAAATAAAACTTGTTAAGAATTAGACAAGGAACAACTTTCATTGGCACCATTTTTTTAAATTATCAATTTTTTAATAGTATAGAAATTAAATTCATGATTATCTTCTTAATTATTGTTTGTATCAAAATATTTTTCCAATAAAACTTCTTACCCTCTACGAATATTATTAAAATCTGGTAAAATGTAGTTTCTTAAAATGCTATTTGAACCAGAACTTTTGGCTGTCATCATGTCATCTTTTAATGATTGGGAGACAAAGCATGTATCTTCTTTAACTTGGTTGATGACATAAGTTTCTTCCATCACATGTAACTTCCGATATGAGAGGATGTCTTTTAAATAATTTGTTAATAACTACACAAAAAAACTATGTAATTAAAGTTTCCCAAACTAAAATTTTATACCTTTCCCCCTACAAATATTCGCTTAATACCAGGATAATATTTTTTTCCTTTAATATAAGGAACAATGTGTGTGAAGCTATACCCTGAGTCAATAACTATACATGAAACATTTCTACCTCTCTCATAAACATATTGATATCTAGCTAAATCACTAGGGCATGTCCTCAGCATGGATTTAACTTCATATTCCTCAAAGAATATTTCGTCCATACATTCCTGGATTGATTTGAAATTAAATATAGGTTGGGTCATAATGAGAGGTTTATCATTGACCGGATGACTGTTAAAAACTTGGTCCCAAATTGGTTTTTGCACATCCCATTTGGTAATGAAGCCCTTTTCGCAGGGTAAAAGGTAATAAAGCCCTGAAAGGTCACGACACTCTTCAATTTGATTCCCAACAAATAACCTCTTCCTTTCTGATTTTGCTTTCATAATACAGTTGGGAACTATTCTTTGGAAACGATTTTATTAATGATAAAATAAGTGATTGCAGTGAATAAACTTACTCTGGTTCAGATCTTGTACTACTTCCCACTTTTATACTGTATCCTCCTGAGTCACAAATTATTGCTGCTGGAGATACTAAAAGAAAAAAAAACTTGCATGTAAATAACAAAGATGTATTTAAAATTAAATAATTAATAATATTTCCTTACTTGTTTTAGTCTTCACGATGGTGCCATGGAAGTCTGTGGAAGCGTTTTTTTGTCGCTTTGTAGTGTAAGAACGGCTAAGGACATAGGCTTTATAATCGGGTCGTTGTCGCTTATTAGAACCATCCATAGCGTCACTATTAATTTTTGATCACAATCAATTCATAAATATCAATAAATAATGTAAATTATGGTTTGGTGCGGACAAAACACCGCAAAACGAAAGTGACAGAAAGATACTACGTCGGAAGAGGTCTAAACTGCGCATCCGCGGGTTTTTAGCGACCACTGTTTAGAAATCGTGAATGGTGGGAAAATCCGTAAGCACTATTCACCACTAGATGACACGTTATTATTTAAATATATTTTATTATTCAAAAACAAAAACTAATCATGGCCATTTTCGAAGACATCAAGAATCTCAATGATGTAGTTACTCAAACACCTTACTTTGTTGTTACAAAGTACTAATTTTCGAAAATAAATAACTTTTACTGATTACATATTTTGTAAATGTTCCACGATCTAGCTGATAAGATAAAAAATATGAGTAACAGTTTCTCCACCCCTTTCATAGCGTAAACATGTCCAAAATAATAATTGTTACAACAACTTTATTTATATGTGAGTATTTCGTTTTTAATTTAAATGTCTTTACAAATATATATTTAATTATCTTAAGAAAATTGGCAAATTTATTTCTTATATTTAAAAATTTTAACATAAAATGTAAAGATGGTTGCCAATACAACTTCTTTTCGATGTCTTTTAACATTAAAAACTTGTTTTAGCAATTTATGCAATAAATACAATATCTCCATCATTACCTGAGAGGCTGAGAGATTGCTACAGAAGAAATTTTTCCGAAACGATTCCAAATGTGCCCCATAACATACCAGTCTTCATAGAACTTATTAGAAAATTAGAAGATTACCCAAAAAGTTACTTAAATATCCGGATGTTAGCTACTGCAGTATTTTACGCGTAAAATCACCTCCGCATCATAATTAATTCCGCATAAATAAGTCTTTATATGTTTTAGTGCGAAATTAGATGGAATAGAGGAATCCGAATTTGGAACCGAAAATGAATTCGTAATCGCGTTTAAAGCAACTAACAAACAGTTCTTTAAGTTTCAAATGATAGCTCTCCATTTTCTCACTGGAAACGATGAAAGATTTCCTTACGAAGCTTTCACCCAGGAAGAATTATGTATCCTCCATGATTTAATATCCAACTCGTTGAGATCATGGGAAAGAGGCGACGAAAGATACACTTGCGAAGTAAGAAATACCGCAAAGGTTGGGAACAACACCCGACGACTTTTAAGCGATTGCCCCGTTGAAAAAGGGGTTATAAAAACTCGATGGGGAACCGTTTCTCCTGGACATCTAATCGCGGCCGTTATAGCTGCGTTTGAGGAGTCCCACGTGGAGTTGCAGAGCTTAATGAGTGATATCAGCAAAGAGCTTAACATTACTTTTGACTCCGACGTTTCTGAATCTGTAAAAGTTAACAATGTTTTGGCCGTTACCCTTGTTGGGGATATGGCAGAAGTAATTTTTAGTCAAAATGTTAATTCGAATGTTAGTTTTGGACAATCAGGACGTTGGAATAATACTATGTATCCTAGGGAGCATTATCTTTCTGAACATAGGTGGGATATGACCGAAGCTGAATTTCTAGGAGGATTAGATGGTGTGTTTATGATTAAATGAATTTAATTTAATTAAATGTCTATCTTATTAGGGTTGATATTAGCGAGAGAATTAAAACGTTGGACGGATATAATGAGCAGCGTCAGATTAAGCCAGATTTTAGATATGTACTATTCGAAACGAGGAGTCGCGTTTGATAAAACGTACAAAGCTTGCGAAAGAAGAAGCAAACTTGTACCAATTTTTCGAGATTTCGATTTCGCCGAGCAGATAAACGCTGTTGCGCAACTTTTAGAACAAAACGCTCGTTATGGGAGTACCGTTTATAAAGAAACCATCGAAACTTACTCCAAGAAAATAGATGATTACTTCAAAAATTATTCAAGTTGGTGTTAAATCTTTTATTTATATTAAGTAAAACCTCGATGTTATTTTTTGTAAAATAATTTTAGATGATATTTCTAATACTTATGGGGTATGCGAAGATGAAGAAGCAATGAATAATTTAGAAATCATAGTTATTTTGGATGGGACGTGGAAACAGCACGAGATATTCTCAATAATATCGTAAGTTATTAATTGATTCGATCGCCAGGTAGAAAAGAACCCGAGCACCTGTTGGAATGTAACGAAATGGGACGGAGGAATTCTGAGGGAAGAATTTCTACCTGACTTTATATTGTCGGTGGTTTAAGCATGCTTGATTGATATTTACTGGGTACTTGGTTTTCGTTTATTTTTTACATCTTATTAATTAATGTTTGGATAAAAAAAATGCACAAATAACTTTAATATTTAATAATCAAATAAAACATTTTTTGGGACATTCCACAATAAAAATAAAATAAAACACTAAATAAAAATAAATCGCAGACGTTTTTAATGTCGCTTGAAATACGTATGTATTTCAAAACAGCCGTTTTTGTTTAGCGGAATTGACACGTTCCGCCGAGAGGTGTTTGAGCAATCCTTTCTCGGGTTTTAAGGTCGAATTCATTAAGATTTTCTGTTGACGCCTCATCGATTGCCTTTCCCATTTCGTAGGTACTTAGCGGAATTAGCCGACGTATCTCACTATGGCAGCAAATTGGGCATAATTAATGGACAAACCGGCGAATGGATCTCCAATGTTACCAACGACCTCTATCAAATCTTCGCCAACCTAAGAAACACCACAAATTGTGAGATAAATGCAACAAAAAGTATAACATTAATTTTTAATACATTTTATAGTTCCAGAAAGATTACATTTATCAACGAGTTTAAATACAGTAACAGAACTTTACCAAGAGGCATCATCATCGGATTGCGGTATTAAGAAATCGCGTGCGTTTGGTCACGTGGTTCTGGTTTTCGCCAGCACCGCTCTCGTGGGTAGTGATGACGCAACCAGAACTCAATCGTCGATGAGGACTCTAAAGGGGACGCGTCCCGACGTCCGAATCGTTTATGTCACCTCAGAAAACTCGGCATCTCACTACCGCAATCTCGTCGATAATTTTCCCGACGTCCAAATCTTAACAACGGTAAGCAGAGAAGGATTGGAAGGTTCTAGAAGCGTTGTCGATGTCGTTATGCCTATGTTACAAGAGACATCGTCAAGCATTGTCGATCCGTTCTGTGGTGGAGTGACGGATGTCGAGGATTATATCACTCCGGGGATGCGGAGGAAATACTTGGTCCATCGCGAAATTGTCGCGAGGACCTCGGTTACCGTCCGGTTTAAGGGATACGGTTACGGTGATGTAACCATTTGCGCACGAAATGCCGATAATGAGTATTATAGAGATTATAAAGAGAATTATAGAGAGGAGTATGGAGGGGATCGTAGAGAGAATTACAGAGAATATAAAGACGTTGGTTGTAACAAAATAACGGGATCCGATGAGATCACCTTCGATGTTTCGATGATTTGTGGGATTGGTTCTTTGTGTAATGTTGAATTTTCAGCGATTAGTAATGATTCTAATTTAAAATGTACTGGTAAGAAAATGATTTTTATTAAAATTGATTTTTCAAAATTAAAAAAAAAAAATGACTTTTTTTGTTAGAGATGGAATGTAGATATCCTGATCAGATTAGAATGGATATAGAGGTGCGATGGTCGGGATCGTCTCGAGCGTCGCTCACATTGATGCTGATCGGACTCGTACCATATGTTCTTTACGAGTCCATCTGAAGGGGCGCTCTTTCGGATGAATAGCGTAGGGGATTCTACCTTCTGGCGGCTGGATTATTCTTGGTCATCTTCTGGTTCGTTTCTCGTTGGTTCGAAGATGACTTTAACTCCGGTAACCTAGCTTTATGACGTCGAAAAGGCACTCATACAGCTAGATAACCAAAGAAAACGTCAGCTCCGACGGCTGTCCGGATCGAATCGAACTGGGCACTGTTGTACACGTGACCACGACGGTGAGGTATGCACGAAGGCCCTCTCCTGCCTCCTGCGGAGGAAGCAGACTTTACGGACGCGCTCGCCTTGCCACCGGACGAAGAACTAAGCGCAGTCGTCGAACCTGTTGAGCAGTGGAGCCCCGTCTGGAAACCAGTTTCGAAGGCTCGCGTCGGCCGAGCCCAAGGCGCAACCTGTTTTGTATGCCACCGAGCTCCCAAACTTTCTACTCGGCGGCCGTAGGCGATATTTGGAAACCGGCGGTCTTTTTGGTCTTTTTGGCCTTTTCCGTCGGTCTCCGGTCGAGCTGCGTACAACGCCGCTCCTCTGCCAGTTCAAATCTCCGCCTCCCACTCCCCCCTGCTTGCTGTTAGTGCTGCTGAGGCTGCTGCCATCCTTCGCGTTTACCCCTTTATAACGCAATATCTTTTAAAACAATTCAAATTTTATTTAAACTTTTTCATTTATATTTATTGTAACAATTAATATGTAAGTTATATATTTATATATAACAAATTTTAATTAAATTATTTTTTGTATAAAAATGAGTTGAAAAGATTCCATCGGCGTTTTATACAAAAATATTTTTAAGAATTAAATAGAAATCGTTTTGTACTAAAGATTCTAGAATAAATAAATTATTAAAATAAGATGATAAATTTTTAGATAAACCAATTGTGTACGTATAGAATTATGTTGTTATTGAAATTTAAAAAGCAAATTAAATGAAATATCTAGAAATGCTTGAATAAACATTTTGAATTCGATATGGAAGATCGTGTAGATATAAAGTGTATTGGAAACGATGGGATTATTGGGAAACACATCGGCCTTTTCTAGAAATTTCTCGCGGTTCGTTCGGTGGACGTCTCGACGGCCGGATTCCTAACAGGTTAATGTATTTAATTTTTTTTGCTTTGCCGTCCAGACGCGGTCGTTCCCTCTCCGTTGTTCCGTCCTCGCGGCGTCTTTTGCGAGGGACGGAGAGAGATAGAGAGAGAAAGGCAAAGGGGCAGAGAACTAGCCGAACGGCGTTTTTCTTTACTCCTCGTCACAGGTACGAGCGCCTACACTTGGAATGTCGGTCCGGGGTACCCGCAGCCTCTCCGGACCACCGCTCCGCTCCGCTCCGGACTCGTCGACCTTCGAACCGCGAGTTTTGGACAAAAGAACCGAAACGAAACAGGCGTTTTTCGACTTCTACCTCCTGCGCCTCTGTCCCGGAGCAAAATCGCCTTATGTAACGTGTCTTTGCGCGAAAAACAGATCCGACGCCATTTTGCCATGTTCTCCTCCTTTTCTCTGGTTCTCTTCTTCTTCGATCTTCGACCTCCACAGTTCGATCTTTCTTATACTCTTCTTCTTCTTCTTCCACTGCTTCGTACTTCGTTTTGCAAGAGAACATGCTGAAATTTATAGGGATTTCTGCGGGGCCCGGATTGTGTCGGGCCGCATTCCTTGATACAATGGCCATAGCGGTGCGGGAGGCACATTCGGCTCTCCTGGACCAGTTGGACCGGTTATGGTAAAACCATAGGTAAGGTTCGATCCTCATGATCCACTGTTTCTCTCCGGATTCTTTTCAACATAAATTTCTCTCAACCAAGTCGTTATAGTACACAATTTTTAATCAAATTTAACTTAAAAAAATATATTCTTTGGTAATTATTACTAATACAATACAATAATACATAACGTTTTTAATATTAATTTAACTTATTTAATAATTTAATCGATTTGGGGGAACAACTCTTCTTCCGCTTCTTGTCTCCGTGCACGTTTTCTGCACTTCTTCGTCGGGGTTGAAATCCAAATATTGTTTTGGCCGATGTCTTCTTGTGTTGTATTTAGCCCTCCTTTTTTCTTTCTGCTGAAATACTTTCTTTGAACGTTTTGAACTTAACGATTTCGCCGTTTTTGTTATACAATTCGGTTTTGGGGCAATCACTAATCCAGAGCACCATGTTGCTTCTTCTACTGATTGAATTACTCCTTGTTGAACCATGTTATCCAAGTTGGGTTTAATTTCCTTTAATAGAGGAATCGAAATGCGGCGGGGTGTCTTAAATGGTACTATGTGGGGCATCGGATCATTTTTAGCTAAATTTGCTTCATTAGGGGGTTCGGATGCGCTCATTAATTTTAAGATTCCGAGATCTTCACACACGTTTCCATCCAATAACGATTTCGCTAAATTGCTTAGCACGTAAATTTTACAAAGTTTTTCGTTGTTTCTGAATTTAAGCGTTTCGGAGAAGAACCCCAACAATTTCATCGGGGTGTACTCCGCGTTGAAAAGGCGACGTACTGAGGTCCGTAATTCATTGTTGCCGAAAAAGGTGTTAAACGTATTTTCTGAGATACACGTGACATCCGCCCCGGTATCAATTTTAAAAGTTATAGTTACATTTCCAACCATTACGTCTAAAGTCCAACGTTTCTTTTTAGTTTTTTGGGTTTTTTTGTCGAGAATTCCCACGAATGAGTCATCATTACCTGTTATAAATTCTTCCATAATCTCTCCATTTTCTTGGAAGTGGTGATTAAAAGGAACTTTTTTATGTGTTGCGAAATATTCGTTAAACGCCTCAACGATTTTTTCATAATCCTCGCGCTCTTTCTCAGACAATTTTAGAGAATTAAAAATATCCTCGGCTTGACTCCCCATGTAACAAATAAGTGTCGTAATTTGGTGATGGTGTGATTTGTTATTTAATCCGGTCGTATTTCGGTATTCGTCAAATTTTTTTATCCACTTTGGCCATTCCTGATGTTTCGCTATTTCGAATATTTCCGGTTGAATCGAAGAAGTAGTCATTTTTGCACTTTATAAATGAAAAATTCACTTCCACTACTACAAATGAGTTGTACCAAACTAGTTGATAACACATCAATAAACCAAAAAAAAAGAACTTCATTCGTATAGCAAATTCTTTGTTAATGTTTCATGACTATTATTCTTATCATAATGTGTGCTGTTAAAACGGTTATTTCAAAGGTAATAATTTTCTTAACAAAAAGTAATGCATTTGATATCATTTCAATTGGCGGTAATTAAAAAGCGCCGTATAAAATAGGTATTACGCACGTGAGTAATAATAAAAGGAACTTAAAGGAGAAAGAATCGAGATGGCAACAGCTTTGCGTATCTCGCGGTTGGGATTTTCATAATTCACCAAAAGTTACGTTGCCTGTTTGAAATTCCGCCGACCGGTGCCCAGTTCTACGGCCCGTACGCACCGTGAATGATAAAGCAGAGCGCTAGCAGCGTTATTCTTCGGAAATTCCACGTTATAAACTTTGGTTTTCAATGATTCGAATGGACAATTGATATGCACTTTACTTGCGCCGCACACCGAACGACTAAAAAATTTCAACAAACCTAAACATTGTAGATATTTAAAATAAATCTGTTTCCTTATTACTCAGATTATATCTCTAATGCTATAAGGAAGTAATAAGAATCATATAAAAATTAAAATCATCAATTTTTCTAAGCGACTTTAAAGATAGTTTTGCGTAATTATTTATTCATATTCGAGTCATAAATCATTTAAGATCACTAAGAATGCGTGTTCGTTTATTTTTTGTTAATAACTTTGTAGGCGTGGTTATTTATGTGATAATTACTTCAACAAAATTTTTTTGTATTATCATTACGCTTAGAAATACATATTTTTATTATTCATTGTTGTATTTTGTGGTCTTATTTGGTCTACGCTTTGTAACGAAACATAACGTAACCTGGCACCTCTCGTTCGACTCCGTAAAATACCTTCATGTAACGGGTATAAAATCAGTCGTAAATCATTTAAGACCACCGAGACCAATAGTGCGTGTCCGAATTTTTTTTAATTTCAAATATGATATAAAATTTTTTTTAATATAAAGATATTATTTCTTATGTAAGCAGTTATTAATTACTATTATTAATTAAGTATTACCTTTAAAGAAGTAATAAAATTTTTGTGGTAAAAAAATTCTTTTAATTAATTATGTGGTATATTTTTTGATATAAGGGATTGAGCGACTTCATCGGATAGACAACCAAGCAACCACACATTTTTGGCTCCATCCGAATCAGATTGATAATTAAAGTTTGGAGAAAAAATTAAAATTTAAACAAAAAATCATAACTACTCTATTTTTTATGATGAAGGGATGATTTATGTTTTAAATAGAAGCCCAGAAATTTTAGTTTATGAAATGATGTAAAAAAAATAGGGTTTGATAATAAAAATTTCCGGAAAAAAAATGTTAAAGAAAATGTTGGCTAATTTATGTATAAAAATTTTCAAAATATCATATCAACTCTATTTTTAATGATGAAGGGGTGATTTATGTTTTAAATAAAAGTGCATCAATTTTAGTTTATGAAATGATATAAAACGATTTAGGTTCGATAATAAAATTTTCCAGAAAAAAATTATTTAAGAAAAATTGACTAATCTAATTTGCCAGACTATAATAACTGCATTATATGGTATTTTTCATATTTAATATTAAAATTAATGTTAGAACCTTGTGACTCATAAGATAAGGCTCCTTTCCTCGCGCAGTCGTTCGTCTATTTGAACCATCAATGTAATTGTAATGGAACCACTATATCCTATTTCACATGCTCATAACAGCCATGGTGATTAGCACTACATTTTTAATGTTTAATTTTAGTGGTAATTTGATTTCTGTAACAAACATACACGCAAATTTATATTTTATTACTATAGTAGTGGCGTTAAAGTTAGTTACAGAATTGATCTAACTTACCCAGCTCAGGTATGAAGTGTTTTATCCTCCTCACGGTTTCGTTGAATAACTACAGAGTCTTTCCAACCTGCAAAACGCATATTTATTACAACGTGTAATCTTCGAGAAAAATCTGAGAATTAAATTTGTGTGGTTTTATTGAAAATATATTTTACCTGTTACTTTAAATCATTATCATCGTAATTCTAATAATTTTCTTATTCCAAAACTTCTAGATTCACTCATTTTTGACTGAAATTGAAATGCTTTAAATAGTGTATGAGTTAATTAATTATAATAGTTTACCTGTTTGATGAAGAAGGAAAATTGGAAATAGGAGATAAAAAAAAAACAAAATATCTCCAGAATAATTTTAGAATATTATTGTTAAATACATTTTTTTAAGAATGTCAACTAATCATAGTACAATTTGCCTCGACATGTTGAATGTAAAAAAAATAAAAAATGCAACAAAGATTGGATCAACTTAACAAAGAATACAATCTTATTTTGATCTCTTTGGATATTAATAAACAAAGAGAATAAACAATTTCTTTTTGTACACCATCGTTTTGTGTAAACTATTTTTTTTGTACACTATTGATAAATTAACCACAATAAATATTAAATTATATTTACAACGAAAACAAAAACTGTTTTTCCATGTCAAAAAAAAGAAGAAAAACAGTTTCTTATAATATATAATTAAATTTAATTTGTTTTTTAAGTCACTTACAAAATTCTATATTTACATAAATTCTACATAGATTTAAAAAAATATATGTACACTGTATAAAACAGTTGTTTCTTATTTTTTTCTTACTTTCATTCTCTTCTTATATATATACTTATCTTGTAATACTTTCGAATAAAGAATCTCTAGACAAAACCAGACAAAAATATTTTTCTTTTATATTTACAGGTTTATAATACTAAATAATAAACATAACTTGCACGATTTCTTTTCTAAAGAATTCTTAAATGTTGGTAAAATACACTAGATTTCCTGATTTAATTAAATTTTATTATTGCTTTGATAAACCCATTTTTTTTAATCTACTAAAACCAATAAGGTTCTTACCAACACTTAACACAAAAACAATCGACTAGTAATCAACAGAAAAGTTGTATAATTCAATTTATAATTCAATATTGGAAATAAAGTTTAAGTGTTTCTTAACAACATTGAGAAAATTCTGTTCCGCTATGCGTCTGGAGGCGGTTTATTTACAATAGGGAGATTTTCCGAAGATTTTTTCGTCTCAGTACTATTTACCTGAATATTTGGCGACGAACTTCGATCACGACCATCCTGATCCTCCAAAAATCGGTCCATAAAATCCGTCAGACCCGGATGGAGCGTGTATTTTTTCTTCTCCAAACGGTTTTTATTCGCGAATATATCGTGCCGCTCCGATTTTTTCCATAAATAATAAAATTGCACCAATTCCCCAACAGATCTTGTTCGCACCTATTAAATAAATTAATAATTATTATTTCAATTATATATTTCGTTATTTAACCTTATTTTGTTGTATTAATCGAAAATTTTTTCCATAACACCTAACCCCTGCTTCAAAATTTCTACATTCCTCCTCAGACCACAAACTCATAGTATCCGAATTTGGTATAACATTAATCCTGATACGCCTTAATGCCTCCTCGGTATTATGGCCACACTGTTGCAGCAAATACAGGGCTTGCTCGTCATCGCGAAGTTGGGTGCCCAACGGGATAGGTGACTTACTGGTGTTTCCTTTCCGTAAAAAGTCTTCCACGACGTTTTCTTCCAACAATTTAGGATCCCAAAGAAGCTTGTCTTCGTTTTCATATGGTAGGGCATCATCGTAGTGACATAACCCTTCTGGTATAATGGCTTGATAGTCACTTCCGACCATAATGGTCTACAAAATTAAATGAAAATCTTGTTTTATTAAACATTTTGGAAATTTACTATCTGTACCAAAAGTCGAGATAAAGTGGGGGGCCTCGACTTTTGGCATGGATAGTAGTTAAAATTAAAATGAAATAAAAATGATGCTGGTATAGTTAAGTTTGTTAATACAGTAAAGCTCGATATAAACATTCTTTTAAAATATGTTCTACAACTGTCCCTATGTTGCAGCGCTGCCAATATCCTCACCGCTTTTTTTTGTATCTTAATTTTTTTTCCATTTCACTAGAAGTTCCCCATGCTATTATTCGATACGTTGCTATACTATAAAAATAAGCGAAATAAAAGTTTATGGCATCAATAATAAGTATAAGGCAATATATTGAGTAAGCAAGTTTTATTTTTAGATTAGTGATATGATCGCTCCAAGAGAGTTTCTGGATTTAACTTCAAACTATTTGCAATGAACCAATCTTGCTTTTTCTAGTACTGAGACTGTTTTCTGTTCCAGTTTCTGTGGGTCTCTAGATCTATTTATAAAAGACGTATCGTCAGCCATATCAACAACACATTTAGAGCCATATCATTAATGTATGTCAAAAACAAAAGTAGCCCAAGCACAGAACCCTGAGGAACACCAAGAGTACATTCTATTAATTCTACTAATACTGATCCTCTCCAGTGTACTTGTTGTTTTCTGTTCTGGAGATACGATGTAATTAGTTATTAATTTTTGTTATTTCTTCTAAAACTTCAAGAATTGCAGTTATTGTCGATCTCCCGGGTTGAGTAAATTATTTTGGCATGGATACTGCATCAATTTTAATCGGTGAAATTGCAAAATTCGAAAAATAGTCGATTCTTCAAGAAATTAATTTTAAAGCGAATTTTGAAAATTATCAATGAAAATTGCAACATCGAAAATTTTATCAAAACTTCACGAATTGTTTTCTCAAAAACTAAAAGTTATTTTTAAAAACGGGTTGGTTCATTGGAAAGAAGACACTTTTATTAACACTTTGGGAAATTTTCATACTTATATTCCAAATAATGGATTTTATACGAATTTTTAAAACTTAATCGGCGAAAATTGCAAAATTCGATCATTTCAAAAATTTATTTCTCAATAACTAAAAGCGATTTTTCAAAACGGCTTGTTGTATTAAAAAGAGGATACTTTAATTAATAATTGGTGATATTTCCACAAGGATCCTTCAAGAAATTAATTTTATAGCGAATTTTGAAAATTATCGATGAAAATTGCAACATCGAAAATTTTATCAAAACTTCAAGAATTGTTTTCTCAAAAACTAAAAGGTATTTTTCAAAACGGGTTGGTTCATTGGAAAGAAGACACTTTTATTAACACTTTGGGAAATTTTCATACTCATATTCCAAGAACTGGATTTTATACGAATTTTTAAAGCTTAATCGACGAAAATTGCTAAATTCGAAAAAATTGATCATTTCAAAAATTTATTTCAGAAAAACTAAAAGTGATTTTTCAAAACTGCTCGTTGCATTAAAAAGAGGATACTTTAATTAATAATTGGTGATATTTCCACAAGGATTCTTCAAGAATTTTGAAAAATATCGATGAAAATTTTAACATCGAAAATTTTATTAAAACTTCAAATACTGTTTTCTCAAAAACTAAATGTTATTTTTCAAAACGGGTTGGTTCATTGGAAAGAAGGCTCTTTTAGTAACACTTTTGGGATATTTTCAACCTCATAGTCCGAGAAATGGATTTTTTAAAACTTAATCGGCGAAAATTGCAAAATTCGAAAAAATTATCGACCATTTCAAAAATTTATTTCTCAAGAACTGAAAGTGATTTTTGGGTCAGTCATCTTGCAAAGAACTCAAAAAAATATATCTGGATAACCTGCAAAAGTAACATGGTATACACGGTGTTTCGGTGACTCGGGGAACAAATTTAACCAGATATACTAGAGTGAAAATGACGACGATTCATGTAAAAAAAAATTAGTAAAAGTCTTCAAATTTCAAAGATACAGGCCATCAAAGATAGGAAATTTTAACACATTTTTACAAATATCTTAAACACCATTAACAGTAGAACGCTGATTTGGTATAGTATAATCCAATGTAATGTAAAATCGTTAGGTAATTTATGGTTTGGATCGGTCCGCGGGAACCATGCTATACAGGCTGTTCCTAAAGTTTGTTTGCTCAGAACTTTTTTATTCTATCATAACCCTACATTTATTTTTGCAGTTTCTAATAGCAAATTTAGTTTAGAAACTTTTATTACTCTTAGATAATATTGATAAAAATCACCGTTTTCGTGTTAAATGCAAAAATGTTGGGTTCCGATTTCAATAATAGCACAAAAAAATAGTAATCTAAGTTTTTGAACGTTTCCTTTAGTATTTTTTATTACTTGTCTTGTTATTTTATGTACTGTTTTTATTATTCCTGTTAGTGTTGTCGTTTTTTGTTTATTTTTTGTTGATTCTTAATTTATTGTTTTTGGATTCTTTTATTAAACCAATTAAGATATTTAAAAATGTGATTTAGCTAAATCTACACTTTTACATGTTGCATACATAATAGTTATGACAGCTCAGTTCGATTTTCACTTGTCATTGCCAATTCAGATTATTTATTTATTCATTTTTTTTGGTGTTATTGAATTCGGAGCCTAACGTTTTTGCATTTAATACGAAAACGGTGGTTTCTATCAATATTCTGTAAGATTGATTTTATACGAGTTTTTAAAACTTAATCGACAAAAATTGCAATATTCGAAAAAATTGTCAATTACTTCAAAAATTTATTTCTTAAGAACTAAAAGTGATTTTTCAAAACGGCTTGTTGCTTTAAAAAGAGGATACTTTAAATAATAATTGGTGATATTTCCACAAGGATCCTTCCAGAAATTAATTTTATAGCGAATTTTGAAAATTGCAACATCGAAAATTTTATCTAAACTTCAAATATTGTTTTGTCAAAAACTAAAAGCTATGTTACAAAACGGGTTGGTTCATTGGAAAGAAGACACTTTTATTAACACTTTGGGAAATTTTCATACTCATATTCCAAGAACTGGATTTTATACGAATTTTTAAAACTTAATCGGCGAAAATTGCAAAATTCGAAAAAATTGTCGATCATTTCAAAAATTTATTTCTCAAGAACTGAAAGTGATTTTTCAAAACGGCTTTTTGCATTAAAAAGAGGATACTTTAATTAATAATCGAAAGTGATAACAGCGACAGTTCTGTTAGTAATGAATGTGATGATGAATTACAAGCGAAGAGAAGAAAACTAGACGAAACTGCAACAAGAGATTTTATATATCGTATTGGGATTGTTACAATGAGGTTGCTAATGATAAATAAAGTTGTATTCAATGAAAAAAGTCCTATTGGGGTTGAACTTGATTATTATCTGCAGTGTCTAACACCTAAAAGAGAAACTAATTCCTGTGAATGGTGGAGTACTAAGTAATAGGTTTTTAATAACCTGTCAAAGCCGGATATTAGGTAACTATCCGGTATCCGGCCGGTTTTAAAAAATGGCCGGATAGGCCGGATATTAGATATCCGTTCCACCACTACTTTAAAGACAGTTGGATCCGGAGTCGGTATTGGCATTAGTGGACCAATTATAAATTAAATATCTATTGGCAACATTTCATTTGAACTTAAAGTGCTATTTATTATTCCATTATTCGTTGCTTTTTCCAATGAAAACGTGAATAATCAGAATGAATTTGAAACTACCATGTATACTGTGGTTCATGCAATATCACCGTGTCAATTTACAACATTGCAAGGATCATCATTAATTCCACGTCCGCATCCGTCCTTCCACATCGATGTTAGGTCCGTCAACGTTATTTCCCAACATAAGCGTCCATTTTCGAAAGCGCCTGTTAAAAACGAGATTTGATGCGACCTGGAATCCTGGCGACCTCGTATAAAAAAGTTCTGACCAAACAAACTTTCGGAACAGCCTGTATAGCACTGTTCCCGCGTACCGATCCGTGATATTAGTTTACACTGTACCAAATTTCAACGCTTTACCATAAATAGTGTTTAAGATATTTAGAAAAATGTGTTAAAATTTCCTAACTTGGATGGCCTGTATCTTTGCAATTTGAGGACTTTTACTAATTTTTTTTTACATGAATCGTCATCATTTTCACTCTAGTACATGTGGTTACATTTGTTCCCTGAGTCACCAAAACACCCTGTAGAAATCTTGACTCTACAAGAGATAAAATGGACTTAGGAAGTCAATATCACAGAATCTTAGGAGCAATACATGCATATAACATAAGATGAAGTGATATGGTTAATTAATATAATAGTTCAGATGAAATAACATTTTGTTTACATCTTATGATGAAATAGTTACCATCTTGATATCTATTCATGCCCAAATCTTTCCTTTCTGAGATTTCTTTTTCTTTTTGACTTTGCAAAAACGCTTTTTTCTCTCAAGAACATTTTTGTTCTTGGAATCTTTGCTATTTACTTTTGGTATATGATTTTCTCTCTGGTTGTTATATCGATGTTTTACTGTATGTTATTTTGTTATTTATTAACTAGAATACCAATTAATTTAAAAATAAGTCTCTAAAAGATTATATATACTTAATTATCTATCATTAATTTTAATATATAAATACATTTTAATTTATAAAAAAATTTTAACACATTTAATTCACATTTAATATCATATATGTTTTGATGATTAAATAATGATTATAAAATAATGGCGTACTGTATTAATTTAATAAATTAGACGTTTGCGAAAGGTTCTGGACACTGCTTAAGAAGTTAATTAAGTGTAGTTTGCGGTTATGAATATTAGATGTCAGCTCACAGCTTATTTAATATAGTCCATAGTTCAAAATCTAAAGAGAAGTGTATTTAAAAATTGTTTTATTAAACAAATTGAAGACCTTGAATAATGAGTCAGCTCCATTTTAACAAATTGTTCAGGAGGCACAAAACAATACCCTAAGTCTTTTGCAATCTTTTACAATTTAAGACCTTGACTAATGAGTCAGCTCCATTTTAACAAATTATTGAGGAGGCACAAAACAATACCCTAAGTCTTTTGCAATAAGTTTTTTTTCTATTACGTATATTCTAACACTAGCACTATCACTAGAACTAACACTAGACCTAGAAACTTTCGGGTTAAGCCGTACGTCTTTTGAAAAAATGTTTGACGTTTCGGATGCCATGTTGCATCGATGAGTCCCATCATTCTTTGGAAGTAATGTCCGTTTCTTGCTAACATTTGGTTTTGTCAAACTCTATAGTGTCGTATGTTTGTACCTCATAGTCCGAGAAATGGACTTTTTAAAACTTAATCGGCGAAAATTGCAAAATTCGAAAATTATTTCAAAAATTTATTTCTCAAGAACTAAAAGTGATTTTTGCGTCAGAGTCATCTTGCAAAGAACTCAAAAAAATATATCTGGATAACCTGCAAAAGTAACAACAAGAGATAAAATGGACTTGGGAAGTCAATATCACAGAGTCTTAGGAGCAATACATGCATATAACATAAGATGAAGTGATATGGTTAATTAATATAATAGTTCAGATGAAATAACATTTTGTTTACATCTTATGATGAAATAGTTACCATCTTGATATCTATTCATGCCCAAATCTTTCCTTTTTCTTTTTGACCTTGCAAAAACGCTTTTTTCTCTCAAGACCATTTTTGTTCTTGGAATCTTTGCTATTTACTTTTGGTATATGATTTTCTCTCTGGTTGTTATATCGATGTTTTACTGTATGTTATTTTGTTATTTATTAACTAGAATACCAATTGATTTAAAAATAAGTCTCTAAAAGAATGATTACAATTACTTTAAACACTTTTAAATCAACTTGTAAACTTGGAGAAAAACGAAACAAAAAATTATTATGACCATGAAAATCAAGTGACCTTATTAACCTTTCTCCAATCATCTTCGTCTGGGCTGTAGTCGTAATCTTCTTCTTCTTCCTCACTAACCCTTGAACCTACTTTAATCAGAAAAAAAATTAAAAGGAGGTTAAAAAATGAATGTTATATTTACATCTTAAAAGCCTTGAAGGATCCTGATCGGTTTCGGGGATTGGTCCATATAACTGAGACAATTTAGATGGTGCCATTGGTGGTTCAATATCCATTTCTTGTTCTTCAATGGTATCCCCTTGCTCGACATCATCTTCAACAGGGCTCTCATTTTCTTGATTTTCACCTTGATAATTATATAAGGCCAATAACTCTTCCAAAGGCATATCACTTTCTTTTTGTAATCGGTTTAACTCAACAGAAGGATCTTCGGATTCGCCAGCAGCTAAAGCTTCTTCCTCGTCTAAAGTTCGTTCGTCGTCGAAATCATTAACAAGCATATCAACGGAAGGATCGAAAAGTTTGTCTTTGCTAGGAGATGAAGACGCCTCCTTGTTTTCATTGTTAACAGTAGCTACGTCTCCCATTTTCTTGGACGATTTACAAAACCCTTGATTTCATAACACATAACACCGATGAAAAACGACCGTGATATATAAATTTAAAACGGTAGGAGAACATTAAAAAAGTCTCTTCGAAACTTTTTGAGGTTAGAACAGCATCACAACAAACGTAACCGCGAAAATTTGCCTTTACATTCAGTTCGAAATCGAACTAAAAACGATATTGCGTTTGAAAGAAACGATTTGGCTCTTTGATATGGGGTTTCGTCGAATTGATGAATTGAAATTCTTTAGTGTTTAAATCAGAGGCGAAGGGAACTCGAGATTTCTCAAAACACAAACTTTAAGCGTCAATTTACACTGATACGTCACGTCACGTGGAAAAATATGGCGCGTTATCTGTTTTAAAAACCTCCACAATACTTTATTTTTATTATTAATAACAACTTTTTAATTAAAATTCGTTCTATTATATATACTTAATAATCTATCATTAATTTTAATATATAAATACATTTTAATTTATAAAAAAATTTTAACACATTTAATTCACATTTAATATCATATATGTTTTGAGGATTAAATAATGATTATAAAATAATGGCGTACTGTATTAATTTAATAAATTAGACGTTTGCGAAAGGTTCTGGACACTGCTTAAGAAGTTAATTAAGTGTAGTTTGCGGTTATGAATATTAGATGTCAGCTCACAGCTTATTTAATATAGTCCATAGTTCAAAATCTAAAGAGAAGTGTATTTAAAAATTGTTTTATTAAACAAATTGAAGACCTTGAATAATGAGTCAGCTCCATTTTAACAAATTGTTCAGGAGACATAAAACAATACCCTAAGTCTTTTGCAATCTTTTACAATTTAAGACCTTGACTAATGAGTCAGCTCCATTTTAACAAATTGTTCAGGAGGCACAAAACAATACCCTAAGTCTTTTGCAATCTTTTACAATTTAAGACCTTGACTAATGAGTCAGCTCCATTTTAACAAATTGTTCAGGAGGCACAAAACAATACCCTAAGTCTTTTGCAATCTTTTACAATTTAAGACCTTGACTAATGAGTCAGCTCCATTTTAACAAATTGTTCAGGAGGCACAAAAAACTTTTCCGTAACAATACCCTAAGTCTTTTGCAATTAGTTTTTTTTCTATTAGGTATAATCAAAGATTCACACCGATTATAAGGGTTATGATAGGGTATGGACGATTTCACTCCTAATTGAAGACCTTGCAGTAACAACGAGCTCCATTTTAACAAATTGTTCAGGAGACATAAAACAATACCCTAAGTCTTTTGCAATCAACCTTTCCAAAGGAACACCTCGCTTCTGCTTGCTCAAAAATAAATGCAGATCTGAACGCTATTTTAGATTGCTCGCACAAGATGGCACTAACTCTCAATGCCACTAAATGTAAGGTAGTCATCTTTGGTAACTTGGACTCTGATAGTGTCGGTATATTTTTGGGTGGAGAGAGGCTGGTAGTGTACCCTGAGTCAAAAAATCTGGGAGTGCTTGTCGACAGCAATCTGCGATTCAGCAGTCATGTCACAGCTTGCGTGAAAAAGGCATATGGTGTTCTTAGATGCCTCTATCAACACCGACACATTTTAAATATAATTACAAAGAAACGTTTGTGCGAAACACTTGTTCTGTCAAATTTTGTGCATTGTGCTGCCATGTATGGTGCATGTTTAACTGGGTATGAACTTCATCGTATTCAAAGGGTTCTTCGTTTTATGTATGGCGTTCGTAAGCGTGAAAATATTAGTCACACATTGGTTACTGCAAAATGGTTAAATATCAGAAACAAATTCAAACATCAGTTCTTGTGTCTTGTGCACAAGTTGATTACTACGGGGACTCCACCTTACTTATATAACAAAATCACCTATAGGACCGATGTTCATAACTTGAATCTTAGACACAAAAATACTATCGCCGTTCCTGCTCACAGGAAAGCTCTTTTTAGGCGCTCTTTTTCATATAATGTGGCCAAAGAGTATAATTCCTATCCTCCTGAATTTAAAAATAAAAGTCTATCCGTTTTTAAAGTTAACTTGCGTAACACCTTGTTTCGGCTTCAGATAGGTCAACATAATCCTTATGCTGCCTCAGTGCTCTGACATTGGGTTGTTATCTATTTATTGGTTATATAGGGAATCATTTGAATTAATTAATTTAATTGCGGAAAACAATTGAATATGTAATTATTAGTCGTTCTCAACTCTAGGTTGAGTTGAACAGATGGCTTCCATCGCGATGGATGCCAATCTGGACTCCACCTATTGCCCGCAGATTGTAATTAGTTTCACATATAGAATGAATTTTTCATTTATTTTATTTATTTTTTTTTTTCTTTATATTATTGTTTAACTTTTTTATGTTGGTTGTTGCGGTCAATAAAGTACTATTATTATTATTATTATTATTAATGTTTGACGTTTCGGATGCCATGTTGCATCGATGAGTCTCAGCATTCTTTGGAAGTAATGTCCGTTTCTTGCTAGCATTTGGTTTTGTCAAACTCTATGGTGTCGTATGTTCGTATGCCTCCTTTTAATGGAAGACCGTTTTGCAATCAGAAGGTGCTTCAGACACCTTGCAATTCGCTCCGTCACAGCTGAAACATATGGAAGGCAGATAAAACAGGCTGGTGTCGTACTTATCGAGTCATCCTTCTGTTTACCACGCAAACAGAGTGCATCTTCTAGGAATCTTTCTTCTTTCCCCAGGTTCTCTTTATCACATATCTTCTCTGCTCGTTGGGATGAAGCCTGCAGGTACCTATTCGTATGCGTCTTCCTAGTGACTAACACATCCAGGAATGATAAAAATTCCTGGAGTTGCTCTTTTCCAAGTTCCAGATCACGAAAGTGTCATCGACGTAACGGAGCCATAGTTTCGGTTTCCATGGACTCTTCTTTAATGCTTCCTCTTCAAAGATCTCCATGTAAAAATTAGTCCTGGAGTATCTAGAATACTTTTAACTTCATACTCCTGATTGATTCTACAAAATTTGAGGAAACAGAATCTTGGCAAGGTGTTTTGTTAGCTGATTATTATGATACTGACAATAAGACGTGGTGGGACCTCTGGGTTATGGTATATTCCAGTACAAATAAGGTTCAAAGTTGTTCGCTGGGATTCCTGCAGATTTTAGCAAAGAAATTTAACTCCGTTGGGTATTTTTTTATTTTCTTATAGGTGGCTGGGTCCAAAAGGCTCGTCATCTTCACGGTCGCATATTAGCATAGATTATACTACTCAATCGACTTTTCGCAATTGTAATAAACACATTTATTTTCCGACATCGTACAAATTTAAATATTATATTTACGTTTTCTTTTTTTGTGGTATTGATAATAATGACGTTAATGATTACGGCACACTTGTAATAAAATGATACTTGTTCTCAGTCAACTGTTTCCGTAGAAACTTTTGGAAACAACCTATCAGTTATCTTGGGATTTCCCCAAGTACTTAACTTAAAACATCTCTTAGATAGAACAGCTCTTAAAATTGTTCAAAGTATTGAAAAATTTCTCTAAAAATTTTATTTATTAATTAAAAAAGAAATACTAAACAATTTTTATTATTAGTACAAGAAAATATAAGAGGGGGAATATAAGTGAAAAATAGTGCTGCCATCTCTTAATCAAATCTATTATTATTAGAAAATCGCCCCCATAGCGGACAAATCCAAAAATAACACTTTACGCGTTACTAACTTTTACGTCATTATTATCCCTAAATTAATGCGTACAGGTTGAGAATCACCCTGTATAGGCAACCAAAACAACAATATGAATTATACTCCATCTAAAATTGAACTGGATAGTTAATTAATTAATTAAAATTAATATAGACTTGATTACTAAATAATTTCAGTTTATATCTCAATATGTTATGAAAAATATATCAAACAAATGAAAATAAAAACCTAATTTACCGACATAGAATGTTTTCATTGTTGACAGTTCGATGACAAACACCGCCCAAAAACTTAAATGTACGCTATAAACGTGGGTGTGCCTAATTAACTCTAACATTTAATATTTCATGACTCAAAAAGCACTTTTACGTTTGAGTTAAACGATAAACATGGTACTCTTGCAAGGATTTTGGTCACCATGTATTTGGACGGAAGATATTGTGAAGGGCTCAAGATACATAGCATTTTACGTTTCCGCAATGAGCTTCGTCTTAATAACTTTTATCATTTTTGATATGACCGGTGGTGACTCCACTCAACTTTACAACCCATTATTCGAAGCGGATGTTCGTTTGTGTAAGTTGAAAAAATTAATTCCAAAACAACTTAATAACTCTCCTTTTTTAGCCATGCAAGTGATTGGGACACTTTTCATACTCTTTTTGTTATTATTAATCGGGTTTTCTTATTTATTAACTGTTGGGATGAACCGGATGAATAGAGGATTGATGATTCCTTTCTTATCAAGTTTTGGGACGTGTATTATGTTTCAGTTTATTTTTGGGTTGTGGTTGTTGGGTGGATATTATATCTATGTAAGTGATTTAATCAGATTTGTGGAGAAAGAATTATATCATTTTTTGGTTTCAGCTTCAAGTTGTGTTGTATACTTTGATAATATGGTCTTGGATGGCTTATAATATATATTGTTGGCTGGTCGTTTACACCCAGTATAAAATTTTTGAGAAAATCCAATCTCCAAATATTGAATTATTAATTCCTTAAGTTGTTTTTTTTTTTTTAATGGGAATCCGTCCAAAATTGATTTGTATTGTAATAAAGATCTGATTTTTTTGATATACAAATATATTTTTGTAATAAATAAAAATTAATTTTAGAATTTGTTTTTATTTTTGAGTTTATTAAAATCAATATGGCCGTGTGTAACCATGGAAACGGCCGCTATACAGGGCGCCATTATTGCGAGGAAGATGTAACCTTATTTGACTTTTTTCTTAATAATTCATCTTTTTATTGAATTATTGATTTTTGTTTTTACGAAAAATGGTGAAAAATTTTAATCGATTAATTTGAATTATTATTTAATTAAGGTTGATGTAATATGAGGTTAAGATGGTTGTGGATTATAAAAATTATGCGTATCTACGAGACGGCATAACCTGTTAAACCGGTTTTCAAACAATAATATCTTGGGTAAAAAACCGTCTTTTAGCGAAACCAATCAAGATTAACCTATTTTCTATAATTAGAGTTTTTTAACATATACAGGGTGTACCTGTATTATAATCGATCTAATTAAAAGTGGGATTGAATCGCTTTAATTCGGGTGACAGTTGGTTGCGCACCTTTTCGTACTTTCGCATCGATCTGCGCATATTGACGTTTATTACGTAAATGATTTATTTGATTTTGTCGGTTAATTTGTTTATGAAGGTGTTGAGGAGTGACATTTGAATGGGTTGACAGTTGTTCGCGCAGGTTTCGGTGGCGAAATAGCATCGATCTGCGCATATTCCGATAATAACCTATTGTATCGTGGTATATTTCAAGTTCTTCCTCTTATTATTGGTTCGCTGGAATGCGGGTTGTTTTTGACATAAGTAATTTGGGGAAATGAAATGAATGGAGTGTAAAGGGAGTGAGGAAATGAGTGCGTGGTGAGAAAGTAAGTAAGCGCGGTTTCGGTAGTAAATAGGAACATCCTTGAAAATAAGATTTAAGTGTTACGGATGTAGACCTTGGAAAATCTGTACCTACTCTCCACCGAAGACACCGTGACGTCACGGATGTATATGTCGTCAGAAGTGTGGACGATAACGGGATTGGCCGATATGGTGGAACGGTGGCCATTTTGTAAACTAAAAATATATCAAAATCCTTACTGTTATAGCGACACCTATCGCAGAGGCTAGGAAAGCATTTACCAGTAAGGTTTTTAGGAGTGCTGTAGATGTATAGACCGTCTTGGCCGTGTGGCGGTGTCATGTAATAACGCGATATTTACCAGAAACAGTATTCGAAAATGTAGTTAGTGTGAATCGCAGTCGAGTCGTGTGAGTTTCCCGGACAGGTTCGAGTGGAAATAGCGCGTTTTAACGGTCGATTTGTACGGTAAATATCGGTGCGAAACCGACGTTCCCACTGACCATCGCCTATGGCTGCTAAAACTTGAGATCTGTGGAAAATAATATAACCTCATTTTTACAAACCGAAACCCAAACGAGAAACCATCCGCAGTAAGTCTCTCCCCATCGACATTAACGCTTTTTAAACGATTAATTTTTCGTTATTGGTAAAAGTAAATTTTGTTCGTACGTAAACAAACGAACCAACCAACCAAACAAAACCAAACAAAATTTTAAAATGTTATTGAATTGTTTTATTAAATAATTTAAGGAAGAGGAGCTCGGAAAAACCTGAAAGATGAGTGGAAACTCAGTAAAACAGGAATTGTACGATGATTCGGAAATCGCGGAGCTCGCCTCCAAGATCTATGAGGCGAATAAGGCGAAGATGAATTCGGCGGCCCAGAGGCAGAACAACCGTCCTACAACCGGGGGGCAATCGAATCTCCTCAACTTCCTAACAAGAACCAACGGATCCGGAAAACTTAAGCCAGACACACCGCCGGCCAACGGCGAAGCAAGCAAATCCAACATAGACGAGAGATCCCAAAAAGGTCAGTTTGGATGGACGGTCCTCGGTAAGAATAACGTCCCGTACATATTCCGCGGAGAGGACAAATACTGTGCTGTGAAAATGGTGGAAGTGAAGGTTTTAAATAAGTATTTATGCTTCCTCCATCAAGATATTTACAATTGTACGTGTATTAGGAGTTATTATATTACGGAGGCTGAAAGTCGGTTACTTAACGAAATAAACTTTGTACACTGTGACACGCAATTCGGTCCGGACCAGTATAGTACCAGAGACTTAATCGTGCGATTACACGACGCCGTTGAGTTTTACAAGTTCTTAGACGCTTGCTACACTAAATTACTTAATGGTTCGTCGAATCCATTAGATCGGTGCGGGTTCATTCGAATCAATAAAGAATCAGTGGTACCCTACACGGTATACACCGGTGAAAAATATGTGCCACTATTTTATTTCGAAGGCGAGACTGATAATCTTAAGTTAAAAGCCAACAAACTTGAAGGTTGGGACCTTTCCTATTTAAAATTTTGTTGTAAAGTCCAAGGGATCAGAAACGAATTGTTTGCGCACGATTCTTGCTCCGTTATTAGTTTAAACGATATTAAAAATTACTTCCCACCAGGAACGCTTTTTGAGGATTATTGGCCTAATAAAATGGTCGATTCTCAACTTTTAATTAACGGTAAATCACAAACATCCATGGGACAATGGACGAGGCAACCCGCCGCTCCTCCAGTGACAACAATCCACCCGGCTCCATCTCCAAAAGCAACCCAATCGAAACCGGTTAACAACAATAACCACATCCATCAACCCGGTGCTTACCAAAACACCGGCTTTTACACCATTGCTAACACCCACGTGTACCCCAACCAACAACAACCCCTCCCGGGGCAAAGAACACCAAACACGGCTGTACGATCGAGTTACGGAAACGGGGGTGGCACGGCGGCCCCCAGCACCAGACAAGCCAGGCCGTATTACACCAATATGCCACAAGCACCACCACCACCACCTTTAATCCGAACGGGACAACCGTAAGTTTCAACGTTTTTATTAAAATACCTTAATTTAAACTCAAATACAATTCCAGATTATTTTAACACTTTGAATCCAGCGAATCTTCCAACATCATCTGTGAGATCTAATCTACAATTTTATTTTTCAGAAGTTTAATTTAACTCTAAAACCAAAATAATTCATTAAGGGGGGAGATACATTTTTTTTTCATTATGATGCCTTACTATATTCACTATATCCAAAACATATCACATATTACTTTGGACGTTCTAGACTTACTTGGAAATAGATTTAAATTGTTCCTAACGAAACGACTCAAATTACAAAAATGTATATGTATAACGAATTTTTTTAGGATATTGTGTGCAAGAGTTGTAAAAATGTGGTTTTGAGGAATAGTTTTCGACGTATTTTTTGGCTTTCTTACTAATAACAATATTTATATTGTTATAATTATTATTATATCATAAAAAATACTTTGGGCGGCCTACTAATTAATACCATTAACAGCTTGTAAAACTGTGAATTCAGCAAATTTTCATATTTTTCTCCATATTTATGCATCTGAGAGCAAAAGTGAAAGAGAGCAATATTGTTAAAAATGAAATTTGTTAAAAGTTTTGTTCTAAAAGTATCATAAACTTCAAGTAGGGTAGACTTGGTGTCATACTCCGAATCCCGAGTGATACCATTTACAAATCGTAAAACGACGAATTCAGCAAATGTTCATATTTTTATATTTTTCTCGATATTTATGCATCTGAGAGTAATAGTGAAAGAGAGCAATATTGTTAAGAATGAAATTTGGTACAATTTTTGTTCTAAAAGTTTTGTTGTAGCATGCTTCGAATCCCGACTGTTCTTGATATAAGAAATAATCTCGGCCGACTTCGAAGACGTCGGCCGCCCCAAGTATCTTAAATAACACTTAGGGCGGCCGACGTCTTCGAAGTCGGCCGAGATTATTTCTTTCATAGCATTCAAGCAGATAGATTTAGTTTCACGCTCGAATCCAGAGTGATACCATTAACAACTTGTAAAACTGTGAATTCAGCAAATTTTCATATTTTTCTCTATATTTATGCATCTGAGAGCAGTAGTGAAAGAGAGCAATATTGTTAAGAATGAAATTTCGTACAACTTTTGTCCTAAAAGATTTTTTGTAGTATGCTTCGAATCCCGACTGTTCTTGATATAAGAAATAATCTCGGCCGACTTCGAAGACGTCGGCCGCCCCAAGTATCTTAAATAACACTTAGGGCGGCCGACGTCTTCGAAGTCGGCCGAGATTATTTCTTCCATAGCATTCAAGTAGATAGATTTAGATTCACGCTCGAATCCAGAGTGATACTATTAACAACTTGTAAAACTGTGAATTCAGCAAATTTTCATATTTTTCTCTATATTTATGCATCTGAGAGCAATAGTGAAAGAGAGCAATATTGTTAAGAATGAAATTTCGTACAACTTTTGTCCTAAAAGATTTTTTGTAGTATGCTTCGATTCCCAACTATTCTTGATATAAGTGTCATGAACAATACTTAAGGCGGCCGATGTCTTCGAAGTCGGCCGAGATTATTTCTATCATAAACTTCAAGCAGGGTAGACTTTGTGTCCGAATCTCGAATACCATTAACAACTTACGAATTCAGCAAATTTTCATATTTCCGTATTTTTCTCGATATTTATACATTTTAGAGCAAGAGTGAAAGAGAGCAATATTGTTAAGAATGAAATTTGCTACAACTTTTGTTCTAAAAGTTTTTTTGTAGAATGCTCCGAATCAGAGTGTTTTCTCATGAAAAACAATACTTAATTCGTGATACTTATTATTATTCGTGATTATTTTTCTACGCCCCCCTAGGGAGGCGCGCCCTGGTTGAGAAATCCTGTTCTATGTAAACCTAAGAACTTTGAACAAAGAAAATTTTTAAAAATTATTAGTGGTAGAGTGCCCTCCACATTACACCGGAAGTTAGAATTACTTAGAATTTCGTTAATGTATTCCCCCCTTAACCAAAAGTTATTAATTTAAGAATTAAATTAAATATTGGGTTCAAAGTGTTAATTCACCTAGAAATCTTTCTTATCAAATGCCGTATTATTTTGTTTAATATAAAAGCAAGATCTTTCAGATGTAATTTAAGATTTAATTCTTATCTTGTAAAACTAGACTTAATTTTCCTATTTAAGCGTTTCTATTTCACCCCAACAATTTTTTCTTTTGTAATTTGATTTATTTAATTAGCAGTGTAAATAGGTGATTTCTGAATTTCTTTAAAAACGAATTCCTTGTTTATCGCTTTTAAGAAGTAACAAAACATTTTCTTAGATTTACTCATAATTTAATCAGTTTCCGTAAATTTTTTAGCAAATTTGAAACAAATTTCCGACTGCGTTATTCATCGTGAATAATTTTTTGGAATAATAGGAATATATCTCACCTTTTATCAGGCCCAAAAATGTTAATTTGTTTCCCTGTAAATATAGAGTTATTGGAAATGAAAATAATCGGTAGTAAAAATTTAATTTTTGATTACATATAATCGAATTTTTTGTTATAAAATACAGTGCCAATTGTTCGATCATGTTACGTAATGAAATTTAAGTTTCTGATAAGGAAGGCATCTAATAATAAACCTTAATTGTTATATGATATTTATGAAGAGTATTATTTTTATACTTCTGAGAAATTTAAGACTTTGATTGAGAAAAAATCATTAAAAGAATTTTTATTTTAGAGCACCTTTGGGCTACACGACCGCTCAAACCACGGTTGCGGGAAATTATTTAATGTTGGGCGATACCAATGTGGATCAAACGGGTTACCGTCAGGGTTCACCCCAACTATCCAAGTATCCAAGTGCAATGCCGCAGGTTACGAGTCATATAAACGGTGGAATGAGGTTTCCAACGACAGCTCAAAACCATTATTCGACAAGTGACGTTGTGGATTTAAGTTCGCAGGCGTAAGTAATTAAAGCAATTTAAAAATTAACGTCTAAATTTTATGATTTTGTATCATAAAACTTTTTTAATCAATCTAAAAAGCATTTCAGTTTAACCCATCTTTAATGATTCACTACCACAAATTTTACTGTTTTCATTTCAAAATAACCTCTAACTAAAAATTAAAAAGCTTTTAATTCACCAAATTTGTGATTAACCCGACTTCGTTTAACCGATTTGTTTTTTTTTGCAGTTGCTTTTGTAATCAAATATTTGTTGAACTTTGAGATATGTTGGGGTTTTAAGCTCCGCCCAGTTCGAAAGTGAGGAGCCTCCGATTCATGTAGTGTACTTAAAATTCAAAGAACCTCCATTTATCGACCGAAATGGGTCACCTTGAAAGTTGATATCTCGAATTCCACGAATGGTTCTTAAAAATTTTTTGATTTTCTTATCATTTTTGTTCTTTTCTTTCTTCAATACGATGATGGAAATCAAAAACAGGATTCTTGGGATCTCTATCATGAAAGGAACTTGAGGGAGAACACATTTTTCATAAAAATGCTTTGGATTAAGTTAGCATGGAGAAAATATGGTTTTATCTAATTAAGCCGAGGTCGCTTGCGGCCGAGGTCTTGGAATTAATACTATATTGACCAAAACCTAGTCGACACATTGGATTGGCAAACTATTTAACATATACTGTGACGCCTAGGCCGTTCTTAGAATACATAATTTGACCCCAAATGTGGTCAATATTTTGCTGTGCCTCAGCTGCAAAAATCTTGGTTAAACTCAGAACATAGAATGTAGGATTTTGATGGAATAAGTTCCTACAATATGTGTTGACTAATTTAACATTAATGTGATATCTTAGGGGGAGAATCTATGAGTTTGTCTATTTAAGCCGAGGTCGCTTGCGGGCGAGGCGCTACAATTATTTGATATATGGTTTTTCTATTGATTTCGGTCAGTTATAAATTTATAATATAGTGCCATCATATATTTGGCTCTATATAGTCATCATCATGCTTGGCTCTACAGCACCTTGTGAATCTTGGCCTGCCTTAATAGTTCCTTCTAAGCTTACTTTCTTCTATCCCACGCCTGTTGTCTCCAATCCCTGACCTACATTCTCTCTTATCGTCCACAAATCGTCTCTTCGACCTCCCAACCGATCTTTTACCCACAAATCCACGGCGATTAAAAATAATTGTAGTGATACTTTTTATGTCTATCTCTGATAACTTTAACTATAGATACAACTCGAAGTTGTAACGCCGACGGTCGCATTAAAGTATTGGATGAACTTTCTGTATTGAGATCTGCGTTGACTTGTTGAATATTGTTCTTGCATCTCTTACTACCTTTTCCAGGGCAATGTTAAAAAGCACACATCTCTCATCTCCCTGTCGTAGACCTCGTGGTTTTCAAATGTTATCAATAAATCTTGTATTCTCGCTTTACAAGAAACCTTCCTGAGAGTAAAACGTATCGTAAAATTTATAAAATGTTTGGTTTGGAATTCCTGAGATTTAGGTAAATTCTAAATTACTCCATACAAGGATGAATTGTAATTATAAAAATATTGAAGAAAAAGAATTAATCCATAAATGCACAATTACACATTATTGTTAGTTATAAAAGCAGTTTTGGCTTAAATTCAACGTAATACAATAAAGATCTATGTTAAATTTAACACATCTGTAATTATATTCATTTTTTTTAAAAACCTCTATCATCTTTGCTCCCAGGGCAGCAAGCATAATGTCAAAACAGATAATATATTTCGTTTTATCATCAAAATCTGGTATTCTAACTTCAATATTTGGTTCTAAATATTCAAGTGGCTTTAGAATATGGAAAAATTTTATTTGCAACAAACTTCACATTCTACATTTACAGGTTTTCTTCTTTTTTTTGTATCTTTTTCTATTAAATTTGTGGTGAATTGCAATGAATACATATTGCTTTAATGTTATTGATGGCATAAGACGTCGACGTATTTTCTAACACCCCAGAGGTGGGGATAACTCAAATCCCACTCGGCGTGGCTTCACTCAATTTTCTTTCATATCGAAATAATAAGACATGCACTATATTGTGAATATATCAAAATATTTTTTTGGCCGATAATTTTTAAAAACTTTGAAATGGATTTTGATTCACAAAGAATGTTTTAGCTTTAAAGTTATGAATTCGTTTAAGACTTATTAATGTTGTGTTGACGGTAAAATCTAAGATTAGCTTAGTGGCTAAGCCCTGAAGAAATTGCGACTAAAAGAACGGTATATTGGCATGATAAGTTAGTGCATTTTCATTTGTCCTTGATCCTATTCCTGGAATACGTGCTTTTCGGAAAATTTTCTCGGGATTGAATAAAACTTTTCTTTTGAGTTTAAATATAAATTTAATGTTATTTTTGTATTAATTTAATTTTATTTCTTTTTAGGAACAACAATCAAAATCATACAATAGTAAATCAACAACCGGCACATCAGCAATCCGTACACCAACCGCCACACAGTACGTCTGCGTTACAAGAGGAAAGATCCAGTATGACGAACGGAAGGGTGAACATGGGTTACCGCAAAACGTTGCCGGCTCACGAAGCTAACACAGTCGGGTTTCCTTACAAAATGCGAAAAGCACTTTTGGAGGAAAAAATGATTCAGTGCATTAACTATGAGCCATACAACTTTTCGGATCTGTTAGTGACATTAAACGAGTTGGCCATGAATTTTTTTAATAACGTTCCAGTGCAATCTCTGCATCAAGCGATGCAAGCTTTAGGAATTAAGATTTTTAAAGGAAATACGTAAGTAACAATTTCAATTAATAAATTGGAAAGGAAAGGTGAATTTTTGAGTTTGTTTGGCTTCTTATTTTGCAATTTAAATTTACCCCACTTTTAATTTCATTGTATTTATTACAGATAGATTGATTTTATTATGTATTAATATCTTAATTAAATTTTTCATGTGGACAAGAAACATCCTTTTTTACGAAATACTGATTGAGCTTTAGGTGGATCCAAATTGATTATCTGTCTCGCATCTTTTCTTATTATCTCACAAGAATAAATTAATTGGGTTTGTAATACGTTTTTATAACTCAAATGAGTTGAAAAATTTTCGAAATATACTCTATTCCCTAACAATCTCTATGGCATTGAGTTGCTTCTTGAAGCAAAGTGTACCAACCTCGAAAGACGAAGAATAAAGTATAACAAAGTCATCCAGATCGTTACTAATTAAATCTGTTTGCTTAGTTTTTGCGTTTCGAGCTTATGTGTTTGGAGTTTTATGGTATGTTTTTGATTCACTCATTTATTGCTGCCTTGATTCTGTCGCTTTTTCTCCCTTGGCCAGTAGGTATTTGTTCCTCAATGTTTTTTTATTTGTAAATAAAAATTAAATTAATAAAATAGACACAAAAAGTTGTTGTATTGAAATGAACATTTCTTTTAGCTCTCAAATGCGGGTGTTATTGGAAAATGGTAAATGTCAAAACCTCCATGAAATAGTAACGATGGTTCAGCTTCGAGACGTGATAGACTACATGCCACAATTAAAATACATCTTGATGGGTCCTTTCTGTCAGAACGTGGCGGCGAAACGCGGTCAGCTCAGCTAGGATTGGGCTTCAATGTGGGGTTATAACCTATACACTACTTAGTGAACGGCCCCACACGTCAGGTTGTAACGAATAATAAACTGTAATGAGAAGAAAAAAATGAAAAACAGGTCGTTTATTGATTATTTGTGTTCCTATGCGCGTTTCGGAAATGAAACAAAAATTAATTAATTAACACTTCCGGCGCGCACTCTACTACTATTTACCGTTACCCCGGGAACTTTGAAACGTGTAGCGAAGTGGATTTCGTGTTTCGACATGTTTCAACGTGTTTCTGTTGCGATAAAAAATGAGAAAAAAACATAAATAAAAATAATGATAAAAAAAGCGGCGAATTGGAGAATTTTTTTATAATAATAATATAAATTTTACATAAGATACTGTAGAATGGATTGTATATATAATTATTCTATTATTCTACTATATCGTAATAAGATTCCGGACAGATATTTTTATAATTTTCACTAAAACTTGAATGTTTTTTTTACTTTTTACTTTTCTAACTTGTTGACGCTCTAGTCATTTAGTGTAAAAAACAAAAGAATAAATAAATAATCAAAGCCTTATTAATTACGACAAATTCTCCATGGTTTTCCGTTTTAGTAAAATACTTTTTATATTTCTTTCAGAAAACATAAGCAAAATGTTGTTTTTTTTCTTTCACTATTATTGATTTTGTCTTTGACATAAAAACTGAGAATCCTTTATTGTTTTTAGAATCATTATATTATTAATTCGTATTTTTTTAGATACAATAGATATCGCTTATAACGTCCAGTTACAATCAGTCGAGATGAGGTTGTTTTTTCTTTCAGAATTAATTAATTAATTGATATATAGGTTTTTTTCGACAGTTCTAAAAACGTGAATCCTCGAACTAAACTTAATTAAATCTGCTTAATTTAATTGTTTACTTCCTGAATTTTTTATTGCGGATAGAACTGCCGAAATAAATAAATAACGAGTAGTAGTAACGATAAAATCATTCCCAACCTATTTATAAGTGATTTCTACTGTATTACGTAATATGCTAAACTTAATTAAAATTCGGTTTCATTTAAATACTTTTCATTTTATTCGTTATTTAATCATTTTATCTTCTGTTGAAAAAGAAAGAAAAAGAAATAAAAAAAAAGAAAAAAAGAAGGCAGTGTTGGCTACAAAGTAGCTTCTGTATATAAATATTGTAAATTGTATGTAAAACTAAAAATCGAGACAAAATAAGTAAATAAGATGCGAATCAAAGTTTTTTGATTAGAGATTGTTTTATTTTATCTACAGTGTCAAAAATAAAATAAAAAAGAGAAAAGGAAAAGTGTAGCTTTTAGATATTTCAAGACGAAGAAAAAGAAGAAAACGCCCCCTACCCTAAAACCATTATTGTATTGTTATTATTCTTAACTGTTGTTTTGTGATAAAATGAAGATGAATGATGCAATACAAATCGCTTATCATGGATTTTAATTTAATTTTTTTTTGTTAATTAAAAGCGGATCATTATAAGTGAAAATTATAAGCAAAAAACATAGCGAATTATTTAAATATCTGTCCATTAATACAAAAATATTGCAATATTTTCGTTTATTTTTTTATTATTTTTATTTTTTCAAGTTGGTTTTTTTTGTATTTATTTTTGTAAATAGATAAATATGTTTAAGTTATAGAGAAAAAACAGGGTAGGGGACAAAAAAAGTAGCAATTTTCAAAATTACTTAAAAAGAATACATCTTTCTTGTTTCAAGATAAATATGTAACAATATTTTTCGGTATTAGTTTTTATATATTAAAAAATATTGTCATCTATTTATACCTAAAAAATATCAAATACTTTAATTGTTAATATCAATGTTAATTTTAAGACTATAGATCTGAAATAAACATATTTATACAATATATTTGTCGCTGAGTCTATTTAAGATTAGATTTATCTCAAAAACAAAAAAATACGAAAGTAAAAGTTAATAAAAATAAATTGACAGAAGAAATTAGGTAAAAAAATTCTTTATTCCGTTTCAAAAAAAAAACTCCGTTTTCTAAATTGTTTATTTCATCCGCCTGTGATATTTAAAGGAACTACATTTCAGTATTTAAAAGAGGAAGTAAACGTAAATTTAGGTTTTTCTCGCATTGTCACGATAAAAACGAATCCGATAGCTTAGTTTCTTAGTTATTTTTTTTTCTCTTAGTTATTTTGTTTTTTTCCCAAAAAAAATATGAACTGACTTGTGTAAGTAATAAAAAGATACAAATTCGCTATGTTAAAAGTAAATTATTACTTTTTTATATTTATGTATAGATTAAACAAAAATAAAACATGTTATCATAACCCTTTTTTTATTTATTTTTTAATGTATATCTTTTTTAAATCCCCCACTTGAAATTTAGTTCCTTTTCCATCAACAGATTGCGCTTCAACATTTTTTTTAACTACTTATATCGTCATAAAAATGTACATTCTTACAGGAAATCAATTTTATTACCTAATTCTAAGTAATATTAATGTTATTACAAATTAATCAGTATATATTCTGATGATGGACCATAATTTGCATGCAACAAAGTTACGTAATGCTAAATTTCGGTTTATACAGCTTAATTTTATTCTTTATGAGGCATGTCAAAAGAGCCTTTCTCAAACTCGTGGTAATTGTGAAATTTGGGATTGTGTAATTGAACATTTTATCTTTTTGATACACAATGAAGAATCCATCTATGGCTCTACAGCCCATATCGAGCCTTGGCCTCCCTCAGCCTCTGCTTCCATTCATCCCTGTCCTCTCTCTTCCAATTCCTACTCCCGAAACTCTCTCTTCTCCCATTCTGATAACGTGGCCAGCCCATCTTAGGCTTAAGAAGATTCATCCTCCTCCCGAACTGGCCCAAATATTCTCCTCAAGATCTCTCTCTCGAAGACATTCTGGGATCTGAATATGGGAGACAATGCAGAATAATGTATTGCTCTGATAATTGTACGCCAAGGTATATAAAGAGTGGCACAGCTTCTATGTTGTCATTTGTCTCCAACAATGAAGAATACAATCAGTTAATATTGAACTTTAAATTAGATATTAATAGTTAGGAATGAGTATTGCTTAAAATCCTTTTCTAATGCTAATTCATGAAGCTCTGCATTCATTGCAATGTTTTTTATTTGAGCCGACAAAAAGTTCTGGCTTCACCTTGCCTTCAGAAAGCTTTAAGATGGAGAGGAGGACTCAAAACTTAAAAAATATGCAATAATAAGATTAAATTAAACATACATAGATGGCGCCTCACGCAACTTTATTTCAAGGCCACAAACATCACTTCATAACGAGATGTATCGTAGTTAAGTGTTATTAGTTGACAAAAACGTTATTTTCCAAATGGCTTGGTTGCAAAATTTAGCAGGGAAGGCGGAAGACTTACTCAATAAAATCGACAAAAACGCCGCCAACGTTCTAAACGATAACTTGCCCAAAAATGAGTAAGAAAAGTTGATTTGTTCCTCCAATTAATATATTGATGTATTTTATTTTGTAGGTCTAACGATCCAGAATGTTATATCCAAGCTATTCCTACTGTTAAATCCACTTCCAAGTTTATTGAGGTAGAAGTTTCAGATCATAATGATCATAATATGTCAATACAAGCTGTTGAAAAGGTTGAGCGAGATGAAAGTGATGATGGTGTTAATGTTTTAAACCCGCCAGGTAAATAATTCTTAGAGTTAATAAATTTTTATCTCAATAATTTGTATTTGTTAGAAATAAATAATGCAGAAATGCAACTTTCAACATCTTCATCATTATTGTCAAGAGAAAATAGTTTCCACATAATAGATGAGTTTCAAATAAACATGGAAGAAAAGATATTAAAATTAGAGTCTGATAACCGCGAATTAAATAAGCAAATATTAAACCTACAACATTTATACTCAGAGTTACAAAACGAAAATATTAATGTTAAATCTCAATTAGAACGAGCCAACGAATCAGTATCAATAGCCCAAAATGAAATGGAACAGTATAAAAATCGCGCTCAAAGAATCCTACAAGAAAAAGAAAAACTTTTATCACATAAATCATCAAGTAACGAAAATTCCTCCTCAGAAAATGAGTCCGATAAATTTTTAAACAAATATAACAACCAATTAAAAGACGAATTAGTATTCCAACAAACCAAAAACAACGAACTTACAAAGAAAATCGACGATTTAAACGCGTCTTTAAATGATTTACAACGAAATTACGTCGATTTACAAAAATCTCATCACCTATCCATACAAAGTATTAAAGAAAGCCTGAACAATGAGAAGAAAATGCGCGGTTTCGTCGAAGAAGAATGCCGAATTAAAACGAAAGAGCTTCAATCCAGCTTAAACGAACTCAACGAGACGAAAAATTTGTTAAATTTAACTGGGAATGAGCTAAAAGAAACGAGAAATCGCCTAAAGGAGTTTACCGGCGTGGGAAAAGTGGGAGATTTTGAATCAAGATTACATTCTTTAACTCAAACTTTAATGGTTAAACAAAACACACTTGAAACGATCACTTCTGAAAGAAACGCGTTGAGAATTCAACTTGAAAAATTAGAGGTAAATATTAAAAAAATTCCAACAATAATAAATAAATAAAAAGTAAAATTATTTATATTTTTGTTTTAGAACGAATTCCAAAAAGTGATTGCACAAAAAGAGAGGGTACAAATTGTTGTGAGCGATGTTAATGAAACTGATGATGGTAAAATATTAAAATTAACACTAATACATACAGTGTGTTAATTAATTATCACACCCCACGTCATCATTGCAAATATGCAACCAATATCACAGTATTTATTTTATAATACACGAATACATATACTGTGATATTGGTTGCATACTTGCAATGATGACGTTGGGTGCGATAATTAATTAACACACGGTATATATCAAAAAATTTTTTAGTAAAATCTCAAGTACCTAAATTTATGATACCTTCACCGTTTGATGCGGGGGTTACCCGGCGGGTAAAACACGCTTATTCAACTTTGGACGCAGTTAGTGTTCGAACTGGGGTATTTTTGAGGCGATATCCATTGGCTAGAGTTTTTGTTTTCTCTTATATGGTAATAAATAATTGTTATTAATTTGTTTGGAGGACTGCTACATCCTCTGTTCGTTTGTAATTCAAAAAATTCGAAAAAATAAGGGATGTAGAAGTCCTCTTAGATTCTACCATGCTTGATTTGTACTTAATTTTTATAAATTTTAGGTGCTTTTACATTTATGGATGATGATTATCTTATGTACTTATATGCCAAGTAATAAATAAATCGAATTAAATCAATTTTTGGAAGTTTGGAATGAAGTATAAACTATTTTATTATTTATAAATTGTTCGTGTAATATTTAATTCTAGTGATTGTTGATAGATTTTATATTTTATTAAAAAAAATGAAATAAAATGTGTTATAATAATTTTTAAAAAATTAAAGAAATCAAAATACTCTATTTGAGTTATAAAATTTATTTATTTTTTACAATATTCATATTTTTAACGCTTTGTAATTCCTTAAGAAGTTCGGCTAAACTAAAACGTAATTTGTGGAATGTGGCACTATCCATGGAAAAATTAACCTTCTTTTCACCTTGATTTAAGTTGAGAATAACCCATGGTGGAATAATTTTCTTTAAAGAACTAAAAAGATGCATTTTATTATTTATTTTTTACCAAAACAAAATAATTTTACCTATTATTTAAACTAATATCTATTTTATAATCTACAGAAACCGTGTTTTCTCTTTGTACATTCGAAAGTATCACATCCCGATTGTTCTGGTTAAAGGGTAGGTTGTCGATAAAGCTTTGAGGAAAACCTGCATTGAATAATTTTTCTTCAAATTCCTCCTTGCTGTTCCATAAGAATAAATTAATAACCGCTATGTAGATTCCAACCAGATCGTATAATACCTCATCATTAATATTATTTTCTTCTTTTAGTTTTAGTAATGCTGAATCGTTTAATAATATAACCTCAGATTCGTTTACTGATTTTAGAGCAACTAAAAAACATTCTTTAAAACACCTATTAATATGAAAATAATTACAACTCACGTTTAATTAACTGTTTTTGAAACTTCTCCGAAACGTTCTCAACTATCTTAGGATTTAAATTCTTTGAGTAACTATCCATTCTCTTTCTGTTTACAAGTCATTTAATTCTTTTAGAGATGTTCGATTGATTTTAAGGCGTTTCTGTCATAACAAAGTAAATTATTAAAGCTTTTTTAATTATAATTTTAAAAATTTGAGCTTCATTTTTATTGCATGATTAAATTATTAATTATTAAATAACAATATTTGTTATCATATTAATATAAATTGTTATATACAAATATGTTGAAGAATTAGTCGATCGAAACATGGATTAAATGTCATTAGAAAAACTTACATAACCTCAACAATGTTGGATTTATATGATGTATGATTTCTTTAGGTACATTAGATATTATAAATAAGAGATGGTAAAGAGCAGGTATGTAGTTTCAAATATATTTCATAAAATCAATTTTTATTATATACAATACGTTTTGATTTTAGCTGTCAAAGCAGATATCTTTATTATTGGCGAAGTCGGCCGAATTTCTTCCATAAATTACAAACGGGGTGGACTAACAACTTGTAAAACTACGAATCCAGAAAATTTTCAAGCATGTGAGAGCAAAAGTGAAAGAGAGCAATGCTGTTAAGAATAAAATTTGCTACAACTTTTGTTCTAAAAGTATCTTGAATAACACTTAGGGCGGGATTATTTATTCCATAAATTTCAATTAGGGTAGACTTGGTTTCACACTCAGAATATCTCGAGTATCATCAACAATATTTAGGGCGGCCGACGTCTTCGAAGTCGGCCGAGATTATTTCTTATATCATGAACAATACTCAGGAATCGGAGCATGTTTCAAAAAAATTTTTAGAACATAAGTTGTACCAAATTTCATTCTTAACAATATTGCTCTCTTCCACTTTTGCTCTCAGATGCATAAATATCGAGAAAAATACGAAGAAACAAACTCGGCCGACTTCGAAGACGTCGGCCGTCCCAAGTATCATGAACTTAGGGCGGCCGACGTCTTTGAAGTCGGCCGAGGTTATTTCTTATATCACAAGGAGTATTTGGAGCGGCCAAATAATCTCGGCCGATTTCGAAGACGTCGGCCGCCCCAAGTATTCTTCGTGGTATAAGAAATAATCTCGGCCGACTTCGAAGATGTCGGCCGTCCCAAGTATCATGAACTTAGGGCGGCCGACNTAAGGCGTTTCTGTCATAACAAAGTAATTTATTAAAGCTTTTTTAATTATAATTTCAAAAATTTGAGCTTAATTTTTATTGCATGATTAAATTAATATTGTTATCATATTAATATAAATTGTTATATACAAATATGTTGAAGAATTAGTCGATCGAAACATGGAAATGTCATTAGAAAAACATAACCTCAACACTCTTGGATTTATATGATGTATGATTTTTTTAGGTACATTAGACATTATAAATAAGAGATGGTAAAGAGCAGGTATGTAGTTTCAAATATATTTCATAAAATCAATTTTTATTATATACAATACGTTTTGATTTTAGCTGTCAAAGCAGATATCTTTATTATTGGCGAAGTCGGCCGAATTTCTTCCATAAATTACAAACGGGGTGGACTAACAACTTGTAAAACTACGAATCCAGAAAATTTTCAAGCATGTGAGAGCAAAAGTGAAAGAGAGCAATGCTGTTAAGAATAAAATTTGCTACAACTTTTCTTCTAAAAGTATCTTGAATAACACTTAGGGCGGCCGACTTCGAAGACGTCATTCCAAACTTCCAAAAATTGATTTAATTCGATTTATTTATTACTTGACATATAAGTACATAAGATAATCATCATCCATAAATGTAAAAGCACCTAAAATTTATAAAAATTAAGTACAAATCAGGCATGGTAGAATCTAAGAGGACTTCTACATCCCTTATTTTTTCGAATTTTTTGAATTACAAACGAACAGAGGATGTAGCAGTCCTCCAAACAAATTAATAACAATTATTTATTACCATATAAGAGAAAACAAAAACTCTAGCCAATGGATATCGCCTCAAAAATACCCCAGTTCGAACACTAACTGCGTCCAAAGTTGAATAAGCGTGTTTTACCCGCCGGGTAACCCCCGCATCAAACGGTGAAGGTATCATAAATTTAGGTACTTGAGATTTTACTAAAAAATTTTTTGATAAATCATCATCCTTGCAAGTATGCAACCAATATCACAGTATATGTATTGCAAGACGCAAATCGTGTATTATAAAATAAATACTGTGATATTGGTTGCATATTTGCAATGATGACGTGGGGTGTGATAATTAATTAACACACTGTATGTATTAGTGTTAATTTTAATATTTTACCATCATCAGTTTCATTAACATCGCTCACAACAATTTGTACCCCCTCTTTTTGTGCAATCACTTTTTGAAATTCGTTCTAAAACAAAAATATTAATTTTACTTTTTATTTATTTATTATTGTTGGAATTTTTTTAATATTTACCTCTAATTTTTAGTTAAGAATAAAATTTGCTACAACTTTTGTTCTAAAAGTATCTTGAATAACACTTAGGGCGGCCGACGTCTTCGAAGTCGGCCGAGATTATTTATTCCATAAATTTCAATCAGGGTAGACTTGGTTTCACACTCAGAATATCTCGAGTATCATCAACAATATTTAGGGCGGCCGACGTCTTCGAAGTCGGCCGAGATCATGAACAATACTCAGGAATCAGAACATGTTATAAAAAAACTTTTAGAACAAAAGTTGTACCAAATTTCATTCTTAACAATATTGCTCTCTTCCACTTTTGCTCTCAGATGCATAAATATCGAGAAAAATACGAAGAAACAAACACGTTACGAATTTGTTGTTTTTTAACATGATGGTAACACTGGGAAATCTGAACATGTTATAAAAAAACTTTTAGAACAAAAGTTGTACCAAATTTCATTCTTAACAATATTGCTCTCTTCCACTTTTGCTCTCAGATGCATAAATATCGAGAAAAATACGAAGAAACAAACTCGGCCGACTTCGAAGACGTCGGCCGTCCCAAGTATCATGAACTTAGGGCGGCCGACGTCTTTGAAGTCGCCCGAGGGTATTTCTTATATCACAAAGAGTACTTGGGGCGGTCGAATAATCTCATGAACAATATTTAGGGCGGCCGACGTCTTCGAAGTCGGCCGAGATTATTTCTTCCATAAATTTCAATCAGCGTAGACTTGGTTTCACACTCAGAAATTGAGCAAATTTCAGTATTTTCCACGATATTTACGCACCTGAGAGCAATAGTTTTTGTCATCTCTCCAACAGAAATATCTGTTGTGACAACTAATATATAATTCACTATAGGCGTAACTAGAAAATATGGGCCCAGGCGCAAAATTTTGTAAATGGCCCCTGTCTTTATAGCAAAAGTAGTAATACTATGTATACATATTATGGTATACAGAAAAAAAAACACAAATTAAGTTGAAAATACTTATTTATTTTCAAATTTACTAACAAAAAACCAAGAACTAAGAACTAAATTATTACAAAAGTTGTTTTCTTCTAGATTTCATCGCTGCAAATATATTTATTAAATTTTTTAAATCCATTTTCTTAGCCTCACTGCTTTCAATTGCTAATATAGAAAGATCATTCAGCCGCGATTGTCCCATACTAATTCTTCTATAGTCCTTTATTATTTTTAACTTGCTAAATGATCTTTCTACAGAAGCAACTGTTACAGGGAGTGTGAAGAACAATATAAAAACAGAAAATACATCCGATATATCAGTTTCTAAGCAATTATATTTGGTCATTACTAAGTTAGCAAAATCTTTTACACTTTGCAATTCTTTTAACTTGTCTTTTAAAAGCGAATGAACATGAATAAATTGCAATGAAAATTGTTCAGTTAAAAAAGTTGAATACTTCTTTTGTAATTTTTCACATTCTTTTAAAATATCTTTGTCTTTTAACGTTGATAATCTTTGTGGATCCAGAAATCCAAAATAATTTCTTAATTTTTCCATGCTTTTAAATCTGTCATGTAGTTGATGTGAAATAGTATCTATGACAACATTAAATATTCCAACTCTAAACATATCTTCTCTTGAAGAAAAGTGATAATTTTTCGCCAATTCATCAAAATGGTGTTTCACTTTAGGCTGTCGTTTCTTTTGAAACTCAAGGGGAACATTCCAAGTTCTTGCAATTTCTGCAGCCTCACCTTTTATTTCAGTAAATTTTGATCAACTTTCTGAAACTTTATTATAAGCTTGGTTCAAAACAGTTTTGGCTTCATCTAAATCTAGAGAAGTCAATCTTCCAGACCATCGAGTAGGATTTAATTTTTTTAAAGTTACATTTGATTCGCCTGTGAACTTTGAAAGCAAATCCCATCTGTTAATAGAATTTCCAAAAAATGAATATATTTCTTGGAGTGTAACGAAAAATGCGGACACATCTTTATTTTTCTCTATTGCATTTTTTATGACAAGATTTAAATTATGGCTTGCACAATGAACGTAATCTGCATTTTGTTGAATGTTCTTTATTTTTTGTTGCAGACTATTGTATATACCACTCATTACATTTGCTCCGTCGTATCCTTGACCAATACATTTTTCAATTGGTATCTTCATTTCGTCTAATATAGATAGAATTTTATTTTTCATTCCCTCAGCAGTTTTTTACCCGTTCTTGGGAATTTTAAAAAGTTTTAAACACAAAATTTTACTAATTAAAATCTTTAAATTTTTTCAAAATCGTTTGAGGGCCCAAGGGCCCTCAGGATCGACGGGCCCCGACGCAATGCGTCCTTTTGCGACCCCGTAGTTACGCCACTGAACTTGGCCAAAGATTTCCAAATACAATTTAATTTTTAATCTTTATCAATTAGTACGATTTCTCCCTTTCTGGTTTCACTGGAACTCGAACTCGGAAAACGAACTCCAACTGATGATCGACTCAATCCTCTTCTTGAAGTCTCATCAACTAGAACTCTCCTAATTGATCCAGGACTGACTCTCGAGTTCTTCTCACCAAAACTGCATAAGGAACTCTTCTTTTCATCTTCCCGTGTGATCGTTAGATTTTAAACCCTTTCGTTCCGAGCGCTCTTAACCTAAACAATCGTTTCTATTGGCCGAATAACTCGGACAGTCGAAAACGTTCCGCACTAAACTAAAGTAGGGGAGAAATCATACAGAGAATCTTTTTCAAAATAATAGAGCAAAAATTTGATTCATTTTTTTTTTATTTAACCGAACCAGCGATTCGCTACAACATTTTTATGCCCACCCATCCAAAACATCCTTCTTTTCGGAATGCATATTGTTGTTTTGTATGTAATTTAAGCAACTATAATCACCAACATCAATATTTTTTAAACCAGGAGTTTCATTGAAGGCGAATTGTGGATGGGACGAAGCATTTTGTTGTGGATCACTCTTTGACTGTGTTCTAAAGATTTATCTTCTGAACTAAATAGTTAAGTAATAATACTATAATGTATATAATAGTATAATAATAAGTTGCGATCAGTTTCCATGTCCTTTACGGTCGAAGCGCTACAATTAATGACTTTGCCTAATTAGCAAGGTCGCTGATGGCCGAACATACTACATCGCCTAGACCCTAGAGATTCAATAGAGAATCAATACTATTTATAGCTAGATAGTACGAATTCAATTAAGCCGAAGTTTCTATATCAAATAACAGAGGTACTGATTGTATTGACCAGTTTTGAGCTGATTGATCCAGACTGAAAGATCTTGATAAGAAGAAAATTTTGAAAAAATATCCCAAAATACTTGAATTGCAAAAAAAATTGTTTATAGATTATACATAGTTCGCCAACTTACACTTATATATATGCTTCGATGTTTTCGCCGATAGATACCACATTTGTATGAGTCGTTTTATTAAAAACAAATATAATACCTATTTTGCCCCATCATCTTCAATAAAGTCGAGAATTTCAGTGACTTATATTGAGTAATATATTTATATGTATAGATGGATTAGATTTGTAATACTGTTGAAACGGTGCCATTCTGGTAATGATTATTGCCCGAAAGCCAATCATATTCAAGGCTTTCTGAGCAACAATCAAAACCACAAATTAAACACTTCGAGAATGTAGAAAGTTTTCAGTTCTTGGGTTAAGAGATTTCAATTCTAGGTAAAGAAAGAATTTGGACCAAAACTAGCTTTGCCAAGAATGTATGATACCATATCAAAGCTTTGCCAAACCCAGTTTAAACATCACTCACCATCAGGATTAACTCTAAGGACGAAGTCAAGTTAATTCTTGAGTCCCATCCACTTGTACCAAGTTCAAACCGGATACTGAATACCATCGGAGACCATCAGTCCGAGGTTTACACTTCGTTGGATACAAGAAATTCGGCGCATGGCAAGTTGTGGCTTGTATGATACGGTTTGGACCAATGGGGGAGAAGGACCCGATGAGCGTCACTAGGACCGACAGGCGCGGACTTGTCACTGAATAAGTTATACTGACCCTTGACTGGCGCTGGATCGGACATGCAAAATTCACCGACGACGTCTAGTTAAAAATGGATCGGGTTCTAATGCGCACGTCAATCACACTTAGCATAGTTCATGGTTCGATAATTGCGGGCGACAGTGACAGGGTTTCGCCATTTGCTCCCATAAATTCTACCTGGTAAATGTATACTCAATTTAGATGCTTTGTTCACAAAGTTGGAACAATTTAAATTTTGAAATTTCAAACTTTTACATATTGATTGTTTATTGCAAATATCATTTCAATTTTAACTAAAAATTTAATAATTAACTTTATTTTGGAGGGTAAATCTGTTGATGTACCGCGACTACTTAAGCGTGGTTAACATTTAAGTAGCAATCAGCTTAATGGAGCTTCAATTTTGTATATTCATTACAAAATGGGAAACACAAATTGCGACTTGATACAAAAAACTTTTTAGGAATTAATAATTTAGAAAGTTTTATTACAGCTTTTTTAACTAAAACTTCATGGCGTCCATTTTAGTTTTATCAGCCATTAAAGCATTCGCAAATTAATCCAAATTAATTATTAAATTTTTACTTAAGCAAAAACAAAAGTTATTCAACGATTTAATATTAATATTTAAAATATATTTATATTGTATATATTATTAATACATAAAATTTTAAAAAATTATTACAAATAAATATTTAAAAACATACCTTTAATTTTATAAAATTTTGATTTCAGAAATAACACAAAAAAAAAGTTTTAAAAGTTTCTGGATAATGGTTGGCTTGTCCATCAATTGGTGTGTCCACGAGTACTAAAAGGTGGTCGAATCCCTTGTGAATGGTTACTACCCCAATTCACACGGTCGTAAACCCCGCCTCTACAGCGGGCCTTGATTAAAAATGGTGGACACTCACACACGCACTTATTAAGTGAACTATAATTAAGAGATTGAAGATTTTGAACCAACATAACTTAAGAACTTTTAACACCTTAAATTTTACCATCTCATCGAGTCCTACCATGGAGAAGTTTCCCGGGATACTGAACATAAAAGCTGGATTAAACGGAATCACCCTTCCCCATTTGAAAAATCACCCTTCTCCCAAAACCGTTGCTTTTTTATAGAACCATCTTGGTGGTGGTAAAATCTTCTTAGAACTAAGAAAAGTAGTATATTCACTTTTTAGGTACTGCACTCTTTAATATTTCGTGATTTAACCCGCTTGAATCTTACAACTTGAGAAGATAAGAAGTTGCTAGGTGGACATCTGGATGAAAAGTGTTTTCGAAAAATCCTACCCTTAAAAAACGCCGGGAAGGGTGGAGGGTTGCTCCACCCCATGCACTGTTAACCGAACAAATCTCTCATTTCTCTTTATAACATCTTCAAATTTTTTATTTCACCTATTTATTTGGTGATTTTTATTGAACTTTTAAATCAACAACGTGAGATGTCTAAATAACGAACGAGAACTGAATAAGACCTAATGTACCACTGGAAACTTCAACGAACGGTTCATTTCTAAAACTATCCGAAACGATTTATCTCCATGATCTCAACGAACACTTTTGGTATGTATATATTTGTCGATATAGAACTTAGTTTCATTGAATCTATGTAATATAAAACAGCAAAGTAGAGCAAATAAAACTAAAATTACATTAAAAGAAATTTATATAAATTAAGAAGTTCTGCAGGAAATCTGAGGGTGTTAATTGATCTGAGAAAGTGTGCTAGAGGATCTACTCGTATTATCTGGAGTTGTCTTAGGTTGCTGCAATTTCTAGGTCTTGAGAAAAAAAATCTAAATTTATTATTAAAAATCAAGTAAATTCAAAAATTCGCCTCTTTGCTCTTATCTCAAATCTGATGATTTCGGTGGGTAAGAAGTGTACTAAAAGGCTATTTGAATCGTTTCGAGTGGTATTAGGTTGCTATGATTTCTGGGTCTTGAGAAAATAAATTTTCTATAAATTCTAAAATTCGCACCTCTGCTTCTACGGCAAGTCTGGGGGTGCTGATAAGCATTAAGTAAAGTAGAGGATCCAAACGCATTATTACGAGTACTCGCAAGTTGCTGCAATTTCTAGTTCTTGAGAAAATAATTCTTAAATTTATTATTAAAAATCAAGTAAATTCAAAAATTTACCCCTTTGATCCTATATCAAATCTGATGATTTCGATGGGTAAGAAGTGTACCAAAAGGCTATTAGAATCGTTTTGAGTGGTATTAGATTGCTATGATTTCTGATTCTTGAAAAAATAAATCCCAAGATCACAAATTAAAATGTCTAAAATTAAGTAATCCACGTCTGCGGCAAATCTGGAGGTGCGGATAGGGATAAAATATACTAAAAGGTGTATTAGAATTATTTAGAATAGTTGCCAAACTTCCTGGAATCTCATAAAATAATTATTCTATTAAAATATTGAGTACTCAACTAGTTTTGCGAATTTAATGTAAATATATATAATACCTAATTTTAAATTAATTGAACTAAAGATGATATTTAATAGACATCTGGGTAGAAAGTGTTGGAACGGTTGGTTTTCGAAAAACGCGACCCTTAAAAAACGTCAGGAAGGGTGGTACAACCCTCCACCCCTTATTCCGTTACCCAAACTCAACCTCTCGTTTCTTTTTATGCTTTCTATGAAATCTTAAAAGTAGGTCACATCCGATCGCAAACGTTAGGGTACGTTTTTTTTTAACTTTAACCTAGTTTGATATTTTCTGTTTAATCATGCGCTTTTTTTAAAGAACTAATTGACACGATAAAGCGTAAACAATCGTGACGATCAATTAGCATTCGCTTCAACTCGGTCACTAAAAGCGAATTTCCATAGCGAGCTTCAACGTGTCATCCCCTATGACGTGTACATGATTTTGCTATTATCCAGTTAAAAATTTTAAGTTGGACAATACCATTTGTAGGATTTTTTTACTCCGCTACAAGCGGAATAAATTTTTAATCAAAATATGCATCAAAATCAACTACTTATTTAAACTGATAGCCATTCATTATATTAGTTAAATGTGTTGATTAGGATTCTGATTTGGATGACATTCAACCCGAAAATGCACTACGTCGATCAGTCATCCTAAACAAGACCCTAACATCGCCCACGTTTCGTCAACAATTAGGGACTGAAATAGAATTTCTAATGCAAGTTTTTACATAGTCAAAGTGACTTTGGTTTTTTTTTGTTGAAATATAAAATAATTTGTCACCGACATTTTTTTGAATGAATGATCATAAATTATCATTAAATCTATAAAAATAAAATTTTGAAATCGCCCTATATGTATATAGAACCGTTACTCAATTCTACTCAACAAAACCCACCTAGCAGGGCGGGCAGACGGCGGGAGCAGCATCCTCACGGATGCACGTGAATGAAAAGGGTACAGTAAGGGTGAGAGAGGCCGGTATGTCTCAGATTCCATTATGCTACCCCATTCATTCATCGCCTATCCCTATCCATTCGATCCGGTTTTTTTAACGCTTTCGATGCTCGGTTAAAACAAGTAAGGGGTGAGTTCCAGGTGTTCGTTTCGTTACATTCGCCGCGGATCAAAAAAAACTTGGGTAAGACTACAATGAGGACCCTAATGGGTTATTGCGAAATTGCAATTCTTCCGACCGTACAAGTCCACATCTGCTCAAAATCCAACTTCAACGGAAATATATAGAATAAATGAAAAACTATACTTTGATGATATCATATCTTTTTAATAGATTATATTACATATATATAGCTTTGCTGTATATTCTATTCGGGATTGTTTTCACAAATCACCTTTTTCCAATTTGCAATTTTTCAATTTTAGAAAAAATATGTTTTTGCTTCAATTCTAGATCGCCATCAAGAAGACCTACACCAATCTAACTGTGAATAACATCCTGTATGTAGACATCCATGTAGAAGAGTTAAAGGAATAAAAAAGGGAGGAATAAATTTAAATGGTGGAAGAATAAAATTTCCAATAACTTTTTTTCTACAAGTTTTTTTATAACATGCTCCGATTTCTGAGTATTGTTTATGATACAAGAAATAATACTCCATAAATTTCGAACAGAGTGCTCGTATTCGGTTCCAATACCATTTTTGTCGACAATTGTATTCAAGTATTTTAATTGTTTTCCTTGACAAATTTATTAAATAATCTCCAGGAGGTAATTAGTCTTCATAATGTTGATTTTCAGTCTTCATTTGGTGTCCTCTGGGTGTCTTTTCAACATAACCTTCGTGGTCTATGATATAAATGCATGATTGTTAGCGAAACTCAATACAAATCACAAATATGTGTTATTAATCGGAATGAAATTTTTAAAATATCATATCGTACAAGTCTTGGATTGAGTTTTTAATATCCCAGTGCCTCGCTGGCTGGTTTATGTCTAGCTTGTTGGATATTTATATTTATTTATGTTCCCCCTCAATGATATTACATTGTCAATTAATAAATTTTATATTAAGCGCCATCTTTTGCACAATACCATAACTAATAATACCTATTACCCTTGTATACAGATTCTACGGATTCCTCTAACGATATTACCTAAATACAATTAATTATTAAACGTCATTATTTAGCTTGCAAGTTAACTTTACATCTACAAAAACTAAGAATTACTTTATATTATTGTTGTGATATGATTTAGAAGGAAACTTTACCAACCGTTTTTTGCGCCATCTAATCGCGTAGCTACGAAGTACGCTTCTCGGGCGAAGTGTGGGAATAGAAGCAGAAATAGTTTATATTTATTTACATTTTAATACGCCATTGCTAAAGCGAAACGAAAATCGTTCTAAAGAGCTTTTATTAAAAAAAATTGGTACAGTGTCAAAGTCTGTGATGTGTTCTATCCGCTGGAACGAATTTTGCTTTTCGGGATTCACGAATTCGCTGGTTGGATGTGAAACATAACCTAGAAAATGTGCTGTTATGGTAATCTGAAATGGTTTTTGGTGCTGATCGCTTTTGTGTTCTTGATCTGTTGTTCCTCCGGTAAGAATATTACCAAGAAAGGCGATGTCTCAGGCGAAAAAATCGTCGGCTCCTTTGAACTGGTTGCAGAAAAAATTCAAGAAGAAATTGCCACCATTACTAATGAAGATTTAGGAGTTGATTTCATAAATGTATGTCACATCAAATTTTCTTTAAACTATACAGTTTTTGATTTTAGCTGTCACAGGAGATATCTTTATTATTGTTGGAAATATGACAATGTTATTACATATTCGAAAATTTTCTGTTCTAAGATTAACATAATGTAAGAGGAATTCAAATTTGAATTAGATCTGAGGGATAATACAATTGTATTTCGAACTGGTCTTTAATTTAAAGACTAGTTTTGCCTTTTTGCCATTTTCAGAGATTATTTTGAATTCAGATATTTGATATTGTTTTTTTCCTTCTCTCTGATCTAATCTAAAAATGATGGTAGATCTTTCTGAAATTTTGCATAGTGCCATAATTTCTCATTCCAAACAACTTTTCTTAATGAAATTTTGCTGTATCATGAACAAAAAGGTTACTTTACTGAACTAAAAATGCCTCACTTTTTTGCTGAGTTTATTTTGAAAATATAAAAATATTGTTAAAATTCACTTTACACTGTACTCAAATTATTATGATTTTTTCACAATTCCAGGATTGTCCATGTAGAAGAGTTAAAGGAATGAAAAAAAGGGAGAAATAAATTTAAATGGTGGAAGAATAAAATTTCCAATAACTTTTGTTCTAAAAGTTTTTTTATAACATACTCCAATTCCTGAATATTGTTCATGATACAAGAAATAACCCCAAGCATCATGAACAATACTTAGTCAGTAGAGATTATTTCTTCCATAAATTTCAAGCAGAGTTCTTGTATTCGGTCCAATACCATACTTGTCGTCAATTGTAACCAAGTATTTTAATTGTTCTCCTTGACAAATTTATTATGTAAGCACCAGGAGGTATCTTCACTTCGAAGACGTCGACCGCCATAAGTATTGGTCGTGATGGAGCATGATCTTCGCCTGCAACCCAACCTAAGTATCAAGTACAAAACGTAGGTTGGGTTGGGTTGAGAAATAATCTCAGCCAAACAGAACCCAACCCAAGTATCGCAAACAATACTTAGGGCGGCCGACGTCTTCGAAGTCGGCCGAGATTATTTCTGTTGATATAGGTAATAATCTCGGCCGACTTCGCAGACGTCGGCCGCCATAAGTATTGTTCGTGATGGAGCATGATCTTCGCCTGCAACCCAACCTAAGTATCAAGTACAAAACGTAGGTTGGGTTGGGTTGAGAAATAATCTCAGCCAAACAGAACCCAACCCAAGTATCGCAAACAATACTTAGGGCGGCCGACGTCTTCGAAGTCGGCCGAGATTATTTCTGTTGATATAGGTAATAATCTCGGCCGACTTCGAAGACGTCGCCCGCCATAAGTATTGTTCGTGATGGAGCATGATCTTCGCCTGCAACCCAACCTAAGTATCAAAAACAACACTTAGTGCGGCCGACGTCTTCGAAGTCGGCCGAGGTTACTTTTTCCATAAATTGCAAATAGGTTAAAATAAATCTCGGCCAACTTCGAAGACGTCGGCCGCACTAAGTATTATTCATGACGCATCTGAGAGCAAATCATGAACAATAAGCATCATGATACGAACAATACAATAAGTATCAAGTATTCTCCATGATACTGGGGCGGCCGACGTCTTCAAAGTCGCCCGCGTTTATTTCTTATATCACCAACAATATTTGGGGCGGTCGGTTATCTTCAGAGATTATTTTGAATTCAGAAATTTGATGTTTTAATATTTCATATTATTTCTTTCTTTAATTATTTGTGATATGTTTGTTTTTGTCATATCTCCAACAGTAGTCGAGATATTTATTATGACAATTAAAATTAAACACACAGTATATAACGTATTTAATTGTAGAATGTTTTCAAAAAATTTAAACACACCACAATTGCTCAAGATGTAGATAAAACATTAATAAAAATAGCAGATAAATTGGAAGGGAGGCTAAAGGAATCGCTCACAATACTAAATAAAACGCGCGAGATAATCGAGAGTCATTATTACACCTCTAAAAATACAAAAATTCATTCTTTCGTATTACCTTGTCATGATAACGTGGATTTCGACGAGGTGTCAAATTCCATTTTAAACGAAGAACCAATTTTGAAGATTTTAGAACGTAATTAATCATTTTTCTTTTATTTATTTATATTTATTTTCATTTATATTTTTTAGTGTCAAAGTTACAAAATGTCAAGCGACATGAAGTGATTAAACGCGCAATAAAACTGCAATATTTTTTGTCAAATTATAACGTACAAACGGACACGGATGCTTTTATTTCGAAATGTAAAAAACAGGATAAACCGTTATTCTGGAAAAATTATATGTCGCGTGTTATAACCAAAGAGAGGAACATCATGATTTTGATCGACCACGGTGGATCGTTGACAAAGCAGCAATTCAAAATTGTTAAAGCTTTAGCGAAGCAAATGATTGCATATCTCAGGGAAAATGACAAAGTTGGTCTTTTGGCGTTGTCGGATGTTTGGACGTCTCCTTTAATAACCGATCATTGTCTTATGCCAAATGAGACCCCTCCTTTCGGTGATCCTTATGTCATGTCAAAAGCAACGATGCACAATAAAAATTTATTGAATAGTTTTATTGATTCTTTACCTAAAGGAACTGGTAAATAAAGAAAAATCTAACTTATTTTTTTTTTAATATTTTTTTTTGTGTATAAGGTGCCACAAATCATTCGTTGGGATTTCAACAAGCGCTACAAACGATTAATATGAGTAACATATCTTCCAATGAAACTGTTTTGTTATTGTATATTAGTAGAGGGTTATTTTCGTCGTTGACGGAGTCGAAAACGGTGTTAGAAACGATCGCAGCTAATTTGGAGCAAGTTACAAACCCGGTTATTATAAATACTTGCGCAGTAATTGATGGTAATTTCTATTTTATTTTCTAATACGTTAATGTAATGCCTTTTTTTATGTTAGAAACGAAAAATGTTATGTATGAGATTCAATTTCTTCGAGAAATCGCGTTACAAAATTACACGAAATATAACATCACGTTCCGGCCACCGATCCGACCGGGATTAATGTTGTCGGTAAATTCTACTCACAACGTTGGATTAGCGGCTGCCCGATTTTTCAACAAGCTAGATTCCACCAATATCGCTTACAATTTAGATACAACGTTAAGCGTCCCAACGTGGGACGATATTTCGAAAGACATGATTATTACATTAACGATTCCATGTGGGAAGTTGGCTGAAATTGGAATTTTGGGGTTGGACGTACTTTATCCGTATTTAGTTGAGGATATAACCTATTATAGCAATTATCCTCAATACACTTACGCGTTTCTTATTGATAAGGACGGAAATACGATAATGCACCCATCCTATCCAAGACCAACAACCATCAAAGAGCAGCCTTTATTCGTGGATATACAACACTTGGAAAAAATTCCTGATATAATGACGTTAAGAAATCTTTTATTGACAACTCAACAAGGTGACTATCAATCTAAAAGCGAATCCCACCAGAAGCGGTATCTTTGGCGGAAAGTGTTTGGGTGGTATACAGTTTGTATTGTTGTAAATGAAAGTCAACCAATTCCAACTAGACCATATAAGCTTAATTGGAGTCCTAGTACAACTGACGCAGATTTGGTGCATTATCGCCTGGATTTGGATGGATCGACGAGGTTGTGTCGACATTTAAATCAAATTGCTACTTTAGGTAAGTGAAATCTCCCTCCATCCTTTTGGCAAATCTGTGTGTGTTGGTTTTACTCGATGTTTATGCATTTGAGAACAAAAGTGATAGTGACCAAAATTGTTAAGAATGAAATTTGCTACAACTTGTGTTCTAAAAGTTTTTTTATAACATGCTCCGATTCCTGAGTATTGTTAATTATACAAGAAATCTCGGCCGACTTCGAAGACGTCGGCCGCCCAAGTATCTGGAATAAGTTAGGGCTAGATTATTTCGAGAAATGTATTAAAAAGTCTCTTCGAATTATCTAGAGATGTTCCATATTCTTCAAAATAATCTCGGCCGACTTCGAAGACGTCGGCCGCCCTAAGTATTGTTTGCGATACTTGGGTTGGGTTCTGTTTGGCTGAGATTATTTCTCAACCCAACCCAACCTACGTTTTGTACTTGATACTTAGGTTGGGTTGCAGGCGAAGATCATGCTCCATCACGAACAATACTTATGGCGGCCGACGTCTTCGANTGATTGATAGATTGTGTTTAAATTGTAACAGAATGGAGCAAAAGGAATGTGAGTGTCCTTGCGAGTGTCCATTGAACTTGGATACCTGTCGACACCCAAATAAGACGTTTTTGAATAACCCAGTTTGTCCACCAAATCCTGAAAGAGGATTCGATGTTGATTTCCAATTAAAAATTGATTTAAAACCGTGTCTTCCCATTTCTTGCGAATCCCAAGGGTCTCACGAATCATGTTTGGGAGTCATCGGATGTGAGTGGTGTAGAATAGACGTTGATGGTGAAAGTTTATTGGCGAGTCCGTTTTGTACTTCTATTCAAACGTGTTTTAACGGCATTTTGGGATCTCCAACTCCGTACGGTGATCAAGTAACCGTGTCGACGTCACAAGATATGGGTACTTGGGGATCTGGGAATTCTTATTCGCCGATTGGGCCAGTTATCGGGTCAGTTTTTGGGGTTTGTTTGGGACTCGTTCTTTTATTTTTTTGTTACCGCTCGTATACTTCGCCGGTTATAGAACGTTTCTATTTAACTTCTTCGCATGAAAATCGAATTAGAATGAGTGACGTCAACGTTAGCGATGATTACCGCGATGATAACCACCAAGATAAACTTCTTCTGCAAGATAACGCGAAAAAACTTGAACCGGTGAGTCCTTATTGTGTTACGACTGGGTATAGAAGACCCGCGACCGCTGTTGATTCGGATCATGGGTACTCGACGATGACTGGCCGCTCCAAATATCATATACAATACTTTGGGCGGCCGACGTCTTCGAAGTCCAAGTATCATGAACAATACTTAGGGCGGCCGATGTCTTCGAAGTCGGCCGAGATTATTTTGTTCCATAAACTTCAAGCAGGGTAGACTTGATTAATTAACAACTTGTAAAACTAAGAATTCAGCAAATTTTCTCGATATTGACGCATCTGAGAGCAAAAGTGAAAGAGAACAATATTGTTAAGAATGAAATTTGCTACAACTTGTGTTCTAAAAGGTTTTTTATAACATGCTCCGATTCCTGAGTATTGTTAATGATACAAGAAATCTCGGCCGACTTCGAAGACGTCGGCCGCCCAAGTATCTGGAATAACAGTTAGGGCGAGATTATTTCGAGAAATGTATTAAAAAGTCTCCTCGAATTATCTAGAGATGTCCCATGTTCCTGCAGTTTTTAGTTCTTGAGAAAATAAATTCTGCAATTATTACTAAAAATTACAAAATCACCCCGAATCAGAGAAAATCAAAGGATATCGCTAAGAAAGGAGTGTAGAATATAATCTTATATAATTATTATTCTTTTTATTTTAGATGCTGGATCATTATATCTAAGTTTATCATGCTTCCAATCTCCAACAAAGCACAGTCAACTAATTTTACCTTCCATTCAAGACTACATGGCCTACTTAAAAGACAAAACGCGTCTCCTCGCCAATCCGGGATTACGAGATCAAGTCCGTGACGACGTAGCCGCCATGTCACACGTCTTAGAATACCTACGCACACAGCACTTGCAAGGTTCCAAAACCAAGTACATAGTAAGAAGGTACCTGACTTCGCCCAGTGGAGTTTTGCAACTATTTCCTGGGGCAATCATCCCGTCGGGATTAGAGCCGACCAAAAGAAATTGGTACTTGCGAAGTGTCGAACAAAGACACAAGACTATTTTAACTCCTCCTTATTTGGATGGAGGTGGGGCTGGGTATATTGTAACCATAGCTCATGCTACGTCTCATGTAGTAACAGCAATGGATGTAACTTTCGGTTACATTTATCGGTTAATGTTGGAGTATATGCCTTTCTGTGGAAAACCAAACACGAAATGTTTCATGATGGATGATCGAGGTTACTTAATTTACCACCCGAATTTAATTGATCCTAACGGACATGGGCCTATTGAACAACAACATATCATCCATAAAGAATCTTTGGTTGCTAACGACATTTTGAATCATAAAGATTTCGTGAAGAAAATGTTGTGTAATAGTTACTCTGATGGAACTATTCAAAGGTACTATAGATTAAACACTAGTTTAGATAGGGTTTTGGGAAACGCCGTCCATGGAGAACATTGCGTTAAGTACCATGTGAGTCCAATAAAAGGTACTAACGTATTTATCGGTGTTGTTAAAGCGAGTTGCGACGTATTCGCCACGTTTTGTCCATGCAGCATGATTGATAGATTGTGTTTAAATTGTAACAGAATGGAGCAAAAGGAATGTGAGTGTCCTTGCGAGTGTCCATTGAACTTGGATACCTGTCGACACCCAAATAAGACGTTTTTGAATAACCCAGTTTGTCCACCAAATCCTGAAAGAGGATTCGATGTTGATTTCCAATTAAAAATTGATTTAAAACCGTGTCTTCCCATTTCTTGCGAATCCCAAGGGTCTCACGAATCATGTTTGGGAGTCATCGGATGTGAGTGGTGTAGAATAGACGTTGATGGTGAAAGTTTATTGGCGAGTCCGTTTTGTACTTCTATTCAAACGTGTTTTAACGGCATTTTGGGATCTCCAACTCCGTACGGTGATCAAGTAACCGTGTCGACGTCACAAGATATGGGTACTTGGGGATCTGGGAATTCTTATTCGCCGATTGGGCCAGTTATCGGGTCAGTTTTTGGGGTTTGTTTGGGACTCGTTCTTTTATTTTTTTGTTACCGCTCGTATACTTCGCCGGTTATAGAACGTTTCTATTTAACTTCTTCGCATGAAAATCGAATTAGAATGAGTGACGTCAACGTTAGCGATGATTACCGCGATGATAACCACCAAGATAAACTTCTTCTGCAAGATAACGCGAAAAAACTTGAACCGGTGAGTCCTTATTGTGTTACGACTGGGTATAGAAGACCCGCGACCGCTGTTGATTCGGATCATGGGTACTCGACGATGACTCCGCATGATGAATCCGAACATTTATCGTTTGCTCCTTTAGAATTGGATTCGTTGGAAGATGACATTTCGGACGCGACGTCGATTAATACTTCGGTTTCTTCGAGACAACCGCCGAATTTAACGAAACAACCTCAACATTATTTACCGCGACAACATCAACCAAAAAATTTTCCGGTTATGACTAATTTATCTGGAAGAAATCGTATTATCGCCCCGGTTACTGTTCATAGGAATATGGAAATGTCATAACATAAAAAAATGACATATTGTCATTTTCTAACAGGGTTCTTTGTCATTTTTTGATAGGAATTGTAAGATTTTTTAAGACTATTAACAGTATTTTTAAGATGTTTTTCAAGTTCTTGCCATTTGTATAGGATCTTCATCCTACATTTTAAATCCATAAAATTTATCGTTGGCGGCTTAATCTTTCAATCAAAAGCTGCCACAAACCATGACGTTATGAAATAAAGAGACTGTAAAATGAAGTTTTGTCAGCTAAAATTTTTAATTTTAAACAAACCGTTTTTTATGTATAGTAATTATCTTGCCATATTAATTAAGGAATAAAAATTAATAAACTGTACTTAAATCAGGTGTGGTTGCCAGATTTGTGTTGTTGCCATGAAAATCTGGACAATCCTAAGTCCTTTGTGATAACCAAAAAGTAATGGAAATCGTTTGTGTTGAGTGACTGACGTAACCTTTACGAAACTTTGTATTATATTTTAATGTAATAAAAAAAACAGTTATTCATTAAATTTGACTTTTTTTTTATAAAATAATAAATAATTATTTTTTAGTGATAAAATGAACCCAAATATTAAATCACGTAAATTCTAAAATTAATTTCTCTGCTCCTGCAGCAAATCTTTCTTATGTTTACTATTAAAAATCACGAAAACTCTAAATTCCGTTTTTTTTATTGTTTATGATACAAGAAATAAGTATCACAAGTAGAGCCATCTACTTAATAAGAATAATAAGTATTATTCGTGATACTTATATTTCTTATATCAAAACACAGTAAATCTGAGGATCTTGAAGTATCAAGAATCTTAAAAAAAATCTAATTCGGTTTTTAAATAAAAAATATTTTTAATTATTACTATTTTCGGTACATTAAACTCTTATTATAATAAAACATTGAATATTGCTCTATAAAGTTTTTTTTTTTCTAATTTAACGTTAATAAGTATAAAAATGAAATATTAAATCAAATAATTTTTAAAAACTCGAACACAAAAACAAAAAATATTGCAAGATGAGAAGGATCAAGCGCTGTCGGATGATACATCACGATGGTTTCTTTACAATTTTTCCTAAAATAAAAGAAACCCCGCATTAATTTTTTTAAAATGAAGAATAGAAAAAAAATTGTTCCAATAAAATGAAGCACCACCACCAAAGAATAGAGTTATTCTTACTGCAAATTTATAATCCACATCATTCAAATCCAATTTCCTTTTCTCCCTTTTGGCTGCGCTAACAGCAATCGATCTAATTTTACGAAGACGTTTTTTTCGTTCAAGTGATGATCTAAGTTAATGGTTTGATCATTTAGTTGAATAGCAGGAAGCTGCTTGCAAGGAGATACTGCAAATTTTCAAACCGAAAAAACTTAAATCCTCAATTCTTAATTTATTGTTATCTCACCTTTACATTTTTTGTTACTGGTGAAAAGTGTTGTTTTTGGTGGTCTTTTCGACGACGATTTAGGGGTAGAAATCGTGTCCTTACTTCTCGTGATGGTGGGTGTTGTAGGGGTCGCACGTTGTTGTTTTCTTGCGCTAAGTTTGGTTTCTTTTTCGACTTTATAATTTTCGTGAGCTTTTTTGATTAAGTTGTCGATTCGCTCGCCCCATGATAAAAAATCTTTTCCCATTCTTTCTTTGTAATTATTAGATAATTCCAGTAATCTTTCTTCGTACTTGGGTATTCGCTTTTGTAGCGCGTTTCGTTCTTTCTCTTCTTGCAACAAAGTACCACCTCTATTTTTGAAGCGGTTGGGGGCTGAGGCCTTTTCTTCTAATTGAGTGAGATTATTCCAAGATTCTTGCCATTTTTCTAATAAAGTAAATGTTTCGCTAAAATAAAGAGTGATTTAAATAGTTATTATTTAATGAATGATTTGTCTTACTGGTTATTTTGGTAATAATTTTTTAATTTATCAATTTCGATGGTGTGGTATGAAATTAATTCTTCGGTGTATGTTTTAGTGCGATAATAAGTGAATTCTTCGCGTTCGGAGTTCGTCTTATGACATTTCTCCCAGAGGGTGCTCAATTCATTTCGTAAATTTTCAACAATTTTTTGCATGTTTTCCTTTTTGAGCGTATTGCAGCGAATTAGCTCGTTTTTCCACGCGGTGAAGGTAGTGAATGTGCACCTAAGATGCCTTTGCATAAATTGAGTGGTTTTTTCAACATCTTCTGACAACATGATCCATAATCTGCCTACAACTTCCCTTAAAATTTTAATTTCCTTCTTCATGTTGTTGTATTGTACTTGCAATGATCCATAATAATCATCAAGCCATTTCATATTTTTGTCTGTTACTTGAAAAATGGAATTGTCGGAGAATAAAACATTTTCAAGATCCAAAGATGGTTTAATTTCAAGGTCTGCAGCCAACTCCATAATCTTGAACTTTATATGCATGTAATGTTCTTCGCGCTTAAATACTTCTAATTCTAATGCTTTTATATGATTCTCGAAGTCTTCAAGTTCTGAGTTGTTGGGTAAAGGTACTTTTTTTATTGATTTTGGCTCTCTACCCAAGTTTTTGCACAATTCTAGCTGCCTAATTTTTAGGATTTCTAATTGTTTTTCCCTTGCTCTTACAGCACCTTGAAGTCTAAACAAAAATTGAGTAATTAATTACTTAGATTATTATTAAAATTATTCAACATACTGTTCAACATGCTTCTTGAGTAGCCTACGTTCCTCAAAAAATGATAAATCCTGGGAACCATGTTGAGGCATTTTCGTTTGCAACAATTTGCACAACCTTTCTGATTCCTTTAATAATTCCTCAATATCAATCAAGATCTTCTCTTTATGAGCTACAGCATTTTCCATTATCATATCATACAATTGGTTCAACTCTTCCTTAATCTTGCAGACCCATTTTTCTTGAGTTTCCACATCCATCCCCATCTCGTTTATAACCTTGTTTAACTTGGAAACTTTTTTATTTGTGATGTTGTTTAAGTTTTGAATAAAATCCGCCGAGAATAGAGAAGGTGCCCTGAAAAGTTATCGTTAAAAGTGAATTAATAACATAAAGATCGTACTTACTGAGATGATGAAGACATGGTGATGTTATAATCTTACAACAAAAAACACGATCTTAAAAATACGTTACAAATTCAAACAGGTGTTAATACAGTTGAGGTGAAACCGGTGTATTACAGGAAACTTTACTTTAAGGTATTTCTAATTCTTATTTTACTCAATAGATGACGCAATAAATAATTAAATTAAACAAAAAGAAATAAAAGCTTTATTAGACCCACTACAATATTAACCACCTCACAAGCAAAGCTTTATTTTTATATATTTCCAAGTGAATCAATATGTTTGAAAGCGCTTTCAACAATTTGATTCAAATCATCTCTAGAATCCACGATTCCTGTGTTTGCTTGTACAGCTATATGAAACTTATTACCATATGTGATAACACAGATGCCAAAGTCTAGAAATAAAGATAATTAAAAATTTAATTTGATTTATTACCACAAAATAAATATTACTGAAACTCCCCGGGCTTAGGAAGAAAACGATGTTGTCCATATCGATGTTGTCAAATCCAGCACATTTTATGCCGGTAACGTTCGAAATGAAAACGTTTGCTAACCCTTTATTTATAATTAATGATCCTACATGGAACCACGGTGGAAATAAATGTGCGAAGTTAATTAAAGCTATGCTGAACTAAAAAAATAATTAATTTAAATATTTTCTGAGTATTGTTCATGATACAAGTTACTTCTAATATTAAAATAAAAATAGCTTACCATTAAATTAACAGATTTTAAATATTTACGAAAACATTGTTTCAAATTTAGAGCTGCTGATATCATATTTTTGCTGGATGAAGTATCAACAGACGAGATGCCTATGTAAGCGTTATTTTTTATGTTATCAAAGTTAAAATTCCCATTGATCATCTCGATAGTTTCAGTATCAAAAGGTTTGAAAGTAAAGCTCACGCTTAATTTTGGTTTGACGATACCTTTCTGTTAAAAAAAAGAAATGATAAATATTTTAATTTCTACGAGGAATTGTTTTTTAATTTTACTTTATCCATATACTCGATGAGTGCAATCAAAAATCCTGAAACTAAAATTTGTGTGACTCCAACTTTCAATTTCTCTTTTTGGTTCTTAATGAATTTTAAATATTTCGGTTCGGTTTCGATGAAAAATGTTAATAGACCTTTAGGATTTTCTTTATTGCGTTCTAGTGGGATGAGAGGTATCATATAAGCATCGTCCAAAGATTGATTGGGAATTGATTGCGAAGATAAATCGGTTTTTGTGGATAAATTCAAAAATTCAAATTTATCACAAATTTTGTTTTTAAACAATGAGAATAATCCAAATCCGTCGCTTACACTATGGTTAACTGATAATATAAAAACGTACTTTTTTGAGCCATCCCCCCACTCTACCGGTTGTTTAAAAGTTGTCAACATCCAAGTTTTATCTCCAATTTTATTATTATCTATAACATTTGTTGCTATATAATCCAACAAAGATGATTGTGACCAAATTAATTCTTGCGACTCTATTTCTTGCACATAATCACTTAATTTTAAATGACTCTTTATAAAATAATAATAACCCAAATAAGATCTAATCAAATAATTCATCTTATTACAACTACCATAAACATGTTTGAGTAAAAGATCTTGAACATTTTTATGTAATTCAAATTTGTCAGAAACTTTTATTGTATATAAAGCGTTAATTACGATTGGAGACATAACAGGATCTTGCCCAGTCATCATTCCAGCGAATTTATCACCCTCTTTATACATCACACAAACTTTTATGCCAAAATAAAACATTATGGATAATAAAAAAATTATCCCAAATAATAGAAGTGTAATAAACGTTAAAGGAATTAACAAGAGTTGAAGAAAAAGCGAATTTTTTTTTCGTGGTACTCCAAGATAATGCTAAAAAATGAATCTAAACGATTAAAATAATTAATTTTTTTAGTAATACCTTAACGACAGCATAAAATGCTTCGAAAATTGTGTACGTTGGGTTCTTCATAACGTTGATTTTGACACTACAAGTTCAAGAATTGAGTCCCGTTGAAATAAAACCTAAATAAAGTGTGATTTATATTTTATACAAAATTAATTAAACTACAAAAACAGAGTGTTTGTCATTATTTTAACAATGTATTAAAACACACAGCTTTTTTCCTGCTTTTCAATTAAGTGTTGTATAAATTATTGCAATGCACAAAAACTAAGGACGTGGTTTTTATAAATGCTTTATTTAAATTGTTTAAACTACATGGGATTCTTAGACAACAACTTGGATTAAAAACATTGTTATTGTGGAAAACTTTATTGAAATTGTCTTTCCATTACTTAATTTAATTAGTTTTCAAGTCAGGTTTACGGAGAAAATTAAAATATTGATAATTTAAAAAAATTTTAACAAGAAAAGTTGTTCCTTTTTTAGTTCTTAACAAGTTTTATTTGAAAAATATTTTGATATCAACAATAATTAGGAAGATAATCTTGAATTTAATTTCTATAGTGTTCGTAAGGAAATTAAAAAATTGATAATTTTAAAAAATTGTGTTCAGAAAAGTTGTTCCTTTATTGATTCTTAACAAGTTTTATTTGAAAAATATTTTGATACAAACAATAATTACGAAGATAATCTTGAATTTGATTTCTATACTATTCACAGGAAAATTAAAATGTTGATGATTTTAAAAAATGATGCTAATGAAAGTTGTTCCTTGCTTAATTCTTAACAAGTTTTATTTGAAAAATATTTTGATACAAGCAATAATTAGGAAGATAATCTTGAATTAAATTTCAATACTGTTCACAGGGAAATTAAAAAAATGATAATTTTAAAAAATGGTGCCAATAAAAGTTGTTCCTTATTTAATTCTTAACAAGTTTTATTTGAAAAATATTTTGATACAAACAATAATTAGGAAAATAATCTTGAATTAAATTTCAATACTGTTAACAGGGAAATTAAAAAATTGATAATTTTAAAAAATGGTGCTAATGAAAGTTGTTCCTTACTTAATTCTTAACAAGTTTTATTTGAAAAATATTTTGATACAAACAATAATTAGGAAGATAATCTTGAATTTGATTTCTATACTATTCACAGGAAAATTAAAATGTTGATGATTTTAAAAAATGATGCTAATGAAAGTTGTTCCTTGCTTAATTCTTAACAAGTTTTGTTTGAAAAATATTTTGATACAAACAATAATTAGGAAAATAATCTTGAATTAAATTTCAATACTGTTCACAGGGAAATTAAAAAATTGATAATTTTAAAAAATGGTGCCAATGAAAGTTGTTCCTTACTTAATTCTTAACAAGTTTTATTTGAAAAATATTTTGATACAAACAATAATTAGGAAAATAATCTTGAATTAAATTTCAATACTGTTCACAGGGAAATTAAAAAATTGATAATTTTAAAAAATGGTGCCAATAAAAGTTGTTCCTTGTTTAATTCTTAACAAGTTTTATTTGAAAAATATTTTGATACAAACAATAATTAGGAAGATAATCTTGAATTTAATTTCTATACTATTCACAGGGAAATTAAAAAATTGATAATTTTAAAAAATGGTGCCTACAAAAGTTGTTCCTTGTTTAATTCTTAACAAGTTTTATTTGAAAAATATTTTGATACAAACAATAATTAGGAAGATAATCTTGAATTTAATTTCTATACTGTTCACAGGGAAATTAAAAAATTGATAATTTTAAAAAATGGTGCCTACAAAAGTTGTTCCTTGTTTAATTCTTAACAAGTTTTATTTGAAAAATATTTTGATACAAACAATAATTAGGAAGATAATCTTGAATTTAATTTCTATACTGTTCACAGGGAAATTAAAAAATTGATAATTTTAAAAAATGGTGCCAACAAAAGTTGTTCCTTGTTTAATTCTTAACAAGTTTTATTTGAAAAATATTTTGATACAAACAATAATTAGGAAGATAATCTTGAATTTAATTTCTATACTATTCACAGGGAAATTAAAAAATTGATAATTTTAAAAAATGGTGCCTACAAAAGTTGTTCCTTGTTTAATTCTTAACAAGTTTTATTTGAAAAATATTTTGATACAAACAATAATTAGGAAGATAATCTTGAATTTAATTTCTATACTGTTCACAGGGAAATTAAAAAATTGATAATTTTAAAAAATGGTGCCAACAAAAGTTGTTCCTTGTTTAATTCTTAACAAGTTTTATTTGAAAAATATTTTGATACAAACAATAATTAGGAAGATAATCTTGAATTTAATTTCTATACTATTCACAGGGAAATTAAAAAATTGATAATTTTAAAAAATGGTGCCTACAAAAGTTGTTCCTTGTTTAATTCTTAACAAGTTTTATTTGAAAAATATTTTGATACAAACAATAATTAGGAAGATAATCTTGAATTTAATTTCTATACTATTCACAGGGAAATTAAAAAATTGATAATTTTAAAAAATGGTGCCTACAAAAGTTGTTCCTTGTTTAATTCTTAACAAGTTTTATTTGAAAAATATTTTGATACAAACAATAATTAGGAAGATAATCTTGAATTTAATTTCTATACTATTCACAGGGAAATTAAAAAATTGATAATTTTAAAAAATGGTGCCTACAAAAGTTGTTCCTTTTTTAATTCTTAACAAGTTTTATTTGAAAAATATTTTGATACAAACAATAATTAGGAAGATAATCTTGAATTTCATTTCTATACTATTCACAGGGAAATTAAAAAATTGATAATTTTAAAAAATGGTGCCTACAAAAGTTGTTCCTTGTTTAATTCTTAACAAGTTTTATTTGAAAAATATTTTGATACAAACAATAATTAGGAAGATAATCTTGAATTTAATTTCTATACTGTTCACAGGGAAATTAAAAAATTGATAATTTTAAAAAATGGTGCCTACAAAAGTTGTTCCTTTTTTAATTCTTAACAAGTTTTATTTGAAAAATATTTTGATACAAACAATAATTAGGAAGATAATCTTGAATTCCATTTTTATACTATTCACAGGGAAATTAAAAAATTGATAATTTTAAAAAATGGTGCCTACAAAAGTTGTTCCTTTTTTAATTCTTAACAAGTTTTATTTGAAAAATATTTTGATACAAACAATAATTAGGAAGATAATCTTGAATTCCATTTTTATACTATTCACAGGGAAATTAAAAAATTGATAATTTTAAAAAATGGTGCCTACAAAAGTTGTTCCTTTTTTAATTCTTAACAAGTTTTATTTGAAAAATATTTTGATACAAACAATAATTAGGAAGATAATCTTGAATTTAATTTCTATACTATTCACAGGGAAATTAAAAAATTGATAATTTTAAAAAATGGTGCCTACAAAAGTTGTTCCTTTTTTAATTCTTAACAAGTTTTATTTGAAAAATATTTTGATACAAACAATAATTAGGAAGATAATCTTGAATTTAATTTCTATACTATTCACAGGGAAATTAAAAAATTGATAATTTTAAAAAATGGTGCCTACAAAAGTTGTTCCTTTTTTAATTCTTAACAAGTTTTATTTGAAAAATATTTTGATACAAACAATAATTAGGAAGATAATCTTGAATTTAATTTCTATACTATTCACAGGGAAATTAAAAAATTGATAATTTTAAAAAATGGTGCCTACAAAAGTTGTTCCTTTTTTAATTCTTAACAAGTTTTATTTGAAAAATATTTTGATACAAACAATAATTAGGAAAATAATCTTGAATTAAATTTCAATACTGTTCACAGGGAAATTAAAAAATTGATAATTTTAAAAAATGGTGCCAATGAAAGTTGTTCCTTACTTAATTCTTAACAAGTTTTATTTGAAAAATATTTTGATACAAACAATAATTAGGAAAATAATCTTGAATTCCATTTCTATACTGTTCACAGGGAAATTAATAAATGCATAATTTTAAAAAATGGTGCCAATGAAAGTTGTTCCTTACTTAATTCTTAACAAGTTTTATTTGAAAAATATTTTGATACAAACAATAATTAGGAAAATAATTTTGAATTCTATTCCTGTACTATTCTTCAATGAGAGAAATGTTGGCAAAAATTTTTACAAACACGATTTTCGGAGTCTGTTATTTTCTTTTCCGCTTTCTTCGGATTTGTCAGGACATCATCAGACAACTCTGTTACTAATTGAAGCAGGCGGAAGAGAAAAAAGTATTAAAGTATTAAAATTTATTAATTTAAATCTTTTTTTATAATTTCACAGTTTAGATAGTATAAACTCCATTAGAACCAAACGCATCACCATTAATACTTCTTTCCACAACCCATTGTTGAGGAGCTTTGACTAAAATTCCAGAATATTTCGTTAACACCTTCAAAGAGTTTCCTTTCATAATAAAAATATGAATTAAAAGTACAACAATCAAGAGGAGTGCCACTGCAACAAAATCATTTATTTATTATCATTTTATTTGGTTAAATGGTGCAACTTACATATCATGGCGAACGAAATTATTTCCGCTTCATACTTCATTATTAAAGCTTCTTTTTCGAGTTATTTCTTGAATCGGCGGAATACAATTAAATTTTTTATTTTTTTGCACCTTATTTATCACCTCGGTTCGTGAATCACAAACATTTTTGTTTTAATCGTCTTTGTGTATGCATCCTCCCTTGATAACAAATTGTTATTAGTAATTTATTTCTTCCTGGTACCTTAATAGACATTTTTTTGATGACTAATTTTTAATTTTTTCTCTAAAAGAATTCTGAGTGAATCTGAAATCTTGGAATTTGTACCACGAACCAGATGATTGTGGGTATGCCAGTATTACTGAGTACTTCTTAATCCAAGAATTCTTTCAGAGATAGCTGGGGAAGAGGAAGAAATAAGATATGGTATTTCAAAATTTGCGGTTTAAAAAAAAATTTCGAGTGACATCTATAAATGTCAGTCGCTATTATTTTTATTGATGTTTAGCAGACAGTCAATTAGTAGAAAATTAATTTTAGATCATTGTTATTAATTATAATTTAAGTTAAATAATAATAATGTTTGATGAATAAAGGTGTGATAGTTGTTAATAATAATAAATAAATAAATGGGAATAAGAAAAAAGGTTTTAAAAAATAGATGTCGCTGGTGACGTTGTTTACATATCAAACGTTCGACATTCAATTGGTAGAAATAGCAATTTCTACTGTTTGTGATTATAAAAGAGTTTATCACAGGTTAGGTTTCGAAAAATGTTTTCGGAATGATGAATAACCGCAACGTAATTAAAACTAATGGCGTGTTTAAAACGAACGAAAAATGACTAGCTACGGCTAAATAAGGTCCTACGTGTTTAAGGAACTATTAATACCTAGTTTTATACATAGCGTTTTATAACCTCAAAATAGGATGGACCCAGAAGACGGCGACCCAATGCTTAGCAGCAGCAGTTCAAAACCCATTTTAACACAAAAAATTGAGTCCGCCACAAACATTACAGTGTTTTTAGAGGAATGCCAAAAAGATATGAACAATTTAAATAGTGATGAAGATACTGTTCGTGTTGATCATCATTCTGGATCAACTTTAAATTTTACAAACGGTATTATATACCATACACACTGAGGTCATAATAACATATATTTAATTTAAGGTGAAGATGGGAATGATAGTTTGTTATTTAATGTAGATAATGTTGATTTTTCCCGTAACTGGTTAACAGAAATTTTACAAGAAGATGTTATTGATAAAAGAAGTAATCCAGCGAATGAATTAGCAGATTTAATGAAACTCCAAAAAAAGAAGAACTCGTGTGCGGGAAACACCAAAAAAATAGAAATGAATAAGTATTACTCAACCGGGTTATTATCAAATCACGACAAATACAACGACAACAAAAAAGTAACATCATTAAAATACCCAAAGAAACGATTAAAACAAGATGAATCTCCTTCAAAGCAACAACCCCTTTACATGCTCCCGGAAGTTCTAAGAGACACCATGCCGGAAGATTCGATCGATTTCGACTTGGATCACACGATAGAATTGCACCATATCGAAGAATCCAATGTAATGAAACCTCCAGAAGTCCCAAAAGAACCCCCACAACAAAAAGTTACATTCGCGGTACCTGCAGCTAAAAAACCGAAAGCAAAAAAATTTAAAGACGACGAATCCAAACAAAAATGGGAAGAAATGATGCTGGCGAAGCGAAAAAAAATATTTTCCGCCATGGTTAAAAAAGAAATTAACAAGCAACAACGAGCCAAAGTGAATAAACACAAAGAGATGTTGATACAATGCAAAAAAATCGCGTTGCAATGTCAAAAAGTCGTTCGAAATAAAGCTGTAATTACACTTTTAATTAATTAATTTAGTTATTTATTAATTATTTTAATTATTTTTTTAGCTTCAATCTGCCAGGGCTGTGAAAGAATTGCAATGGAGAATGAAACGTTTGGCGCGTGAAAATTTGGCGTATTGGAAACGTTCGAAACGCGTCGATAGAGAGATGAGAAGGAAACTTGAAAAGGAAGCGGAAGAACAACGAAAAATGGACTTTGAATTAATCGAAGCTAAACGGCAACAACGCAAATTAAACTTTTTAATCACCCAAACCGAGCTTTACGCCCATTTTATGTCGAAAAAAATCGGGGATACATCACCGGAAGAACAATTAAGAATTCTTAGCCAATTAGACGAAGAAAAACATCCGCGATTAGCCGCAATAGACGACTATGATAGTGAAATTATGAAATCAAAAGCGATTAAAAATGCGCAAGATGCGTTTAGAAACGAAAGGGCGCGGACGCAAGAGTTTGACCGGCAAGGTCGTTTGAGTGATGATACTTCTTTAGATACTGATGATGGGGAATTCACTCAACCCACCATTTTTCAAGGGACGTTGAAAGCGTATCAATTACGCGGAATGAATTGGTTAGCTAATCTTTATGATCAAGGAATTAGTGGAATTTTAGCTGATGAAATGGGATTAGGAAAAACTGTACAAAGTATTGCTTTTTTAACGCATTTAGCTGAAAAACATGGTAATTTTTTTTTTATTATAGGAATATATAATTACTAACCCCTTTTTTAACCATGATTTAACCATTTGAAAGTTATCTCGATAAATTATAATAATAACGAAAAGTGTTTCGAATAATATTTGCTTAAAAAGTAATTTAAAATCAAATTTTCAATTAAAATTTTGGAAAACTGCTATAAAAATTATATTTTTGAGATTGTCTTTATAATTAAGGGTTGTATCACAAAAATGTTTAAATGAAAGTTGTTTAGAATCAAATTAGGAACAAAGTTCGTTTGAAACATTTTTTAAAATTTTTGCTTGATTATTAATAACAAATTATTTTAATTTCCCTGTGAACAGTACTACATAGANATGATGCTAATGAAAGTTGTTCCTTGTTTAATTCTTAACAAGTTTTGTTTGAAAAATATTTTGATACAAACAATAATTAGGAAGATAATCTTGAATTAAATTTCAATACTGTTCACAGGGAAATTAAAAAATTAATAATTTTAAAATATGGTGCCAATGAAAGTTGTTCCTTACTTAATACTTAACAAGTTTTATTTGAAAAATATTTTGATACAAACAATAATTAGGAAAATAACCTTGAATTAAATTTCAATACTATTCTCAGGGAAATTAAAAATTTCATAATTTTAAAAAATGGTGCCAAGAAAAGTTGTTCCTTATTTAATTCTTAACAAGTTTTGTTTGAAAAATATTTTGATACAAACAATAATAATTAGGATTATTCTCTATGAACAAAGATATAGGTTATTTTTTTACAGATTCCTGTAATCTTAGTTATGTCATGTATTTTACCCACAACAGTTACTTCAAATTGCTTCATTATTAACGATCTTTAAAGTAAATATTGACGCTTTTATTCATTACAATTTCATTTATTATAACGAGATGTGTCATTTAGGAGTATAATAATATTTGTAACTAAAATATGTTTGATAATTTTGCAGTTTTCTTCGAATTGCGCACGCGAAATGCAACGTAGTGTCTTGCCGCCTTTATAAATAACCGTCATTGTGAAAATGGAGGCCGCAGCTTTAGCAATGCAGTCAACTGGTACTCTTGAAGATCTTTTCAACAAGGTCATAAATGGTAAAACTTTGCATTTAAACATGGATGCGGTGCTTCCAATACTTTCCAACGATTTGAGGCTTAATTTGGGGATGGTTTCGCCTGCAATGAGATGTGTGCTTGGGGAGGCGTTATGTTTCTTCATGACAAGATGGCCCGGGTGGTGCACCGCGGATATCAAAGACCCATCGTTGAAAAATGAATGTTTTGAGAAGTATCAACGTTATCTACGCGCAAAATTAACGTTTATTCTTATGAATCAGCGTCTTTTCCGTAATCACGCTCAGTTTACAAAAAGGGAAACGTCTTCCGAAGAAACTCAAATGGATTCAGCATCAGGAAGTCAAGAAGTCAGTCCTTCTTTTAATGTGGTGTTGGGGGAACCGCCAAATGTTTTAAGTGGATTGATTGTTGCTGTGGAGAATGGTAAAATTTTCATTTATAATTTCATTCCATAGCATTTATTTTTATTTTTAGATGACATTGTAATTAAGATGCATACTGAAAAGCCGTGGAATCCCCTGAAATTAACCTCAATGGCTTCCTTTCTTAATCACCCTTATGTTAAATACACTATCAATTTACCAAACGTTCAATTGTCTCGGTCGAACCTCCACGAATTTAAACGCTACTTAGTCGATACAGAATACATCGATATTTATAGCACAGCATTTTTTAATAGCGAGTGTACCAAGATATGTCCTCACACTGAACCTAAAGTGTATTCATACAATTTTATGCTGTATTATTTTAAACAATTAACATCCATCATGGCCCAATATGTTGTTAAGAACCATGAGTTAATTCAAAGCGTCCTTATGGGCTATTTACAAGACATTCAAGATTGCAATTTGCAAGGGGGCACAATGGCTTCACCTTTTAATGTAACTTTTAATATTGGAGGAAAAATTTACTCCCGTAGCAGAAAAATTGAAGATTCCAGCACCAAAACGTAAGATTATTAATATAAAAAGATTTATTAATAAATAATATAAAAAAAATTGTTTTAGGGAAGTCACTTTTTTGGAAATCTTAATTCCAAGAGTCGATTTTTCACTCACTGAATTCAATGTTGAAGAAGCCAAACGCACTAGAAAGCCTTCATTCGTTGATTTAAACAGAATTCATAAACTACCTAGAAAGCAGCGCCAAACGATTTTATGCACCTTTGCTAATTGCCTAACATTAAGTTGTACCTTGTGCAAGAAAGACTTTCAAGGCGAATCTTGCGACGCGGATTGTTTAGAGCATTTCCAAAGTTGTCATAAAGGCGAAGAACCAGTTAAATGTGCTATATGTCAACAGGTGTTCGATGTAATGAATTTGGCAGCAGCGCGATGGCGCCATGATTGCCAAATCCCTCAAAAATCGTCTCAAAGTGATTCAAATACTGGTGGAGGAGGGTCCTCATTGGGTGACATGGCGCATAAAATGAAACATTGCAATATTAATACAAACTAGAACTTAAAAGCTTAACTAAAATGGTATATTTTTTGAGAATGTTATTTTATTTCATATATTTTTTTTTAGAATGTTGTGTTGATTTTTACTTTATTTGAGATATAACAAGAAAATGTTATTTTTTTACCCAAATAAACTATGTTTATTAAAATATTACTTTTATTTCAACATTTATTTAAAAAGGTTCAAATAAAAATTGATAATTTTAAAAAATGGTGCCTACAAAAGTTGTTCCTTACTTAATTCTTAACAAGTTTTATTTGAAAAATATTTTGATACAGACAATAATTAGGAAAATAATCTTGAATTAAATTTCAATACTGTTCAAAGGGAAATTAAAATGTTGATAATTTTAAAAAATGGTGCTAATGAAAGTTGTTCCTTGTTTAATTCTTAACAAGTTTTATTTAAAAAATATTTTGATACAAACAATAATTAGGAAAATAATCTTGAATTAAATTCCAATACTGTTCACAGGGAAATTAAAAAATTGATAATTTTAAAAAATGGTGCCAATGAAAGTTGTTCCTTACTTAATTCTTAATAAGTTTTATTTCAAAAATTTTTTGATACAAACAATAATTAGGAAAATAATCTTGAATTAAATTCCAATACTGTTCACAGGGAAATTAAAAAATTAATAATTTTAAAAAATGGTGCCAACAAAAGTTGTTCCTTACTTAATTCTTAACAAGTTTTATTTGAAAAATATTTTGATACAAACAATAATTAAGAAAATAATCTTGAATTAAATTTCAATACTGTTCACAGGGAAATTAAAAAATTGATAATTTTAAAAAATGGTGCCAATGAAAGTTGTTCCTTACTTAATTCTTAACAAGTTTTATTTGAAAAATATTTTGATACAAACAATAATTAAGAAAATAATCTTGAATTAAATTTCAATACTGTTCACAGGGAAATTAAAAAATTGATAATTTTAAAAAATGGTGCCAACAAAATTTGTTCCTTGTTTAATTTTTAACAAGTCTTATTTGAAAAATATTTTGATACAAACAATAATTATTAAAATAATCTTGAATTAAATTTCAATA